TTTAACTTTCTACCCTTTTAAAACCCTCCCCCAAATCTTCCACCAACCTTTGGGAACTTTTTTTTAGAATCTCCCAAAGACAGTATCTCACAAAAAAATAACTGTCAACTTCCATTTTACTTTATTTTCCCCATAATTTCATCCCACCCGTCCCCAAAACCCAGCATTTACTTCTTTTACACGCCATCATAAAAATTTTAAAACAAACCCTGCGAATTTCACATCCCCGTGTAAGACCCACTTTACCGGGAATAATCTCCCTCTCTCCTTTCATACCCTAACCACCTCACTATCCTCTAAAAACTCTTTACAGCATTTATAACTTACTACCCATTCAAACCTCCTTGCTCATCTGCAAACCACTTTCTGTTTTACCTCTAATTTTTTTCAAAATACCCTACCGTAACTTTACCTTATAAATAACTAAAAAAACACAAACCATGACTGGAGTGATACACAAATAACTCGCACATAAAAGATACTTTAAAGACACGTTTTGCTACTTTACCATTTACATGTTTACCGCTCAATACAGGTTTTGCCTTTTCCATTTACTGCAAGCCTATGCACAGTTGCATGTACATTCACTACTTTTCTTATCATGCTTCCTCTGTCAGGAAAAGTGTTCTCATCTCCTTCTTCCTCCGTGCTCTCTGCATTTGTGATCCTCAGTTCCTTCAATCAGAGATTTCCAAGCTTCGTAATTCATTTTCCTATCTTGGCTACCCTTCCTATTTCGTAGACTGCCTTCTCATGTGCTAAATGTAATTTCTTCTCTCCCAAACTCTCTACTCCTAGGAACTCTTCTGCCCTCTGCCTTCCGGTCTTTCTAATCTCAACAACTCTCTCCATTCCTTAGACATCAAACTTACTTTTCGCCAGACTAACACTCTTCGCACTAATCTCGTTCATACCTCTCCTCCCTCTATAAATGCTCCTGGTGTCTACTCTATTTCTTGTTCCTCCTGTCCTCTTCAGTACTTTGGAGAAACTGGCCGATCTCTTTCTGACAGACTTGGGGAGCACAAAAGTAGTGTTAGGCTTGCTGACACTAACAATGCTCTTTTCTGACATGTCAGAGATCACAGTCATCCTATTGACTGGTCTTCTGCTAAAACTGTCTTCACTACTTCCAATTTTAACAGTTGCTGTCTGGTTGAATCCTCCCTTATACACAACTTTCCTCATATGAATCTTAGTCCTGGCTTTGTCTCTGTAGATGCCTTCCTTTCCCACTACATTTTAAAATGCTCCATACTTCAGAACACCCATGACTTAACTTGATTCCTTTTTCTTCTTCTCCCTCTTCCCCTTTCCTCTTTCCTTTTTCTCCTTTGGGTTGTCTCTCTTCTGCCTTGGGTATTTGTTCCTTCATTATTTATTTTTTTCCCTGTGTGCTCTTGCTTTTACCCTCTGTGGGCCCCTAGCTCCCTTGCAGTGCTCCTCTTTCTTAGTATTTGACTGGCTCCTCCTCCACCTACTACCTTCTACCTCCACTACTACCACTACCACCTCCTGCCTTTATATACTCCTCTCCTTTTCATTAGCGTGACTTTGTAAATGATCCAAGTCAGATCGAAATGTCGTCGTAAGTTCCTCTCTTCTATGTGTGGGTTATTTGTGCATTTACCTGGTATACTCCGTAAACTTATTCCCCTATAATGGTAGGATTGCTGGTGTCTTTTTCTGTCTCGTAAAAACGCTAGATAACAGGGATATCTTGCTACTCCTACTTACACTTTGGTCACACTTCACAGACACGCACATGCATATATATATATACATACATCTAGGTTTTTCTCCTTTTTCTAAATAGCTCTTGTTCTTCTTTATTTCTTCTATTGCCCATGGGGAAGTGGAAAAGAATCTTTCCTCCATAAGCCATGCGTGTCGTATGAGGCGACTAAAATGCCAGGAGCGATGGGCTAGTAACCCCTTCTCCTGTAGACATTTACTAAAAAAGAGAAGAAAAACTTTATAAAACTGGGATGCTTGAATGTGAGTGGATGTAGTGCGGATGACAAGAAACAGATGATTGCTGATGTTATGAATGAAAAGAAATTGGATGTCCTGGCCCTAAGCGAAACAAAGCTGAAGGGGGGTAGGGAAGTTTCGGTGGGGGGAAATAAATGGGATTAAATCTGGAGTATCTGAGAGAGTTAGAGCTAAGGAAGGGGTAGCAGTAATGTTGAAGGATCAGTTATGGAAGGAGAAAAGAGAATATGAATGTGTAAATTCAAGGATTATGTGGATTAAAGTAAAGGTTGGATGCGAAAAGTGGGTCATAATAAGCATGTATGCACCTGGAGAAGAGAGGAATGTAGAGGAGAGAGAGAGATTTTGAGAGATGTTAAGTGAATGTATAGGAACCTTTGAACCAAGTGAGAGTGTAATTGTGGTAGGGAACCTGAATGCTAAAGTAGGAGAAACTTTTAGAGAGGGTGTGGTAGGTAAGTTTGGGGTGCCAGGTGTAAATGATAATGGGAGCCCTTTGATTGAACTTTGTATAGAAAGGGGTTTAGTTATAGGTTTAAAACATATTTTAAGAAAAAGAGGATAAATAAGTATACAAGATATGATGTAGGGTGAAATGACAGTAGTTTGTTGGATTATGTATTGGTAGATAAAAGACTGTTTAGTAGACTTCAGGATGTACATGTTTATAGAGGGGCCACAGATATATCAGATCACTTTTTAGTTGTAGCTACACTGAGAGTAAAAGGTAGATGGGATACAAGGAGAATAGAAGCATCAGGGAAGAGAGAGCTGAAGGTTTATAAACTAAAAGAGGAGGCAGTTAGGTTAAGATATAAATAGCTATTGGAGGACAGATGGGCTAATGAGAGCATAGGCAATGGGGTCGAAGAGGTATGGGGTAGGTTTAAAAATGTAGTGTTAGAGTGTTCAGCAGAAGTTTGTGGTTACAGGAAAGTGGGTGCGGGAGGGAAGAGGAGCGATTGGTGGAATGTGAAAAGAGAGTAGTAAGGGGAAAAAAGTTGCTATGAGAATTTTTTAAAAAGTAAAAAAAGCAAGGAGGGAAGAGTAATGGAAAAAGAGTGGTAAGCAATAAAAAAGAGAGCAAATGAAAGAGGGGGGGAATGTTATCAAAAAATTTTGTTGAAAATAAGAAAATTTTTGGGTGAGATTAACAAGTTAAGGAAGCCTAAAGAACAAGTGGATTGTCATTAAAAATAGGAAGGAGATTTTTAAAATGGAGAGTTAAAGGGTACATGGCCCCCGCAAAACGATCACCCCCAAAAATGCCCAATTATGTAAGTTATTTATTAAGTGCGTTTGTACGTGTATTTTGGGGGGTCAAAATTTGCAAATCATTTCACAATATTCTTAGGGGAAAAAATTGGGTCATATTTTGGCACCGAAAACTACGGAATGAAAAAAGTTCGTTAAACCGGGGTCCACTGTTTTGGGGGAAGATAAAGGGAAAATTTTTTGAGGAACTTTAAATTTTTGATGAAGATGGGAAGCGGATTTCGTTATAGGGAAAAGGGGGAATAACACTTGTAGGAGGGGAAAAAGCCAGTTTGGTGAGGAATTTTCGAGGCAGTAGGTAAAATGAAAGGGGGTAAGGCACCGGGATTGTGGGATTAAAGATAAAAAATTTAAAACAGGGGGGGATATATTTTGGGATGGTTGGTGAAATTTATTTAAAAAAAATGTAGGAAAGGGGGGGTAAGGTACCTAGGGTTTGGCAGAGAAAAATGAAATTTTTCCCTTTGTATAAAGGAAAAGGGGAACAAAAGGAGTGCAAAAATTATGGGGTAGAAGTCTGTTGAGTATCCCGGAAAGTGTAGGGTTTAGATTATTGAAATTTTTTAAGAGTAAGAGGAATAGGATAGCAGATTAACAGGAGGTTTTAAGAAAGGTAGGGGGTGTGTGGCCCAGGTGTTTCAGTGAAACATATAAGCGAACAGTATTTAGATAAGGCTAAAGAGGTATGTAGGAAAAGGGGGGAAATTATTTCCCCAGAAAAAGTAGCCTAGACAAGGATTTGTGATGTACCGGGGTTTTTTAATATATTTTTTATGGGGGGGTTGAAAAGAGAATAATCGAGGGGCTTGGTAAGGCGTGGAGTTTAAAATAAAAATCACACAAAATGGGGGGTTGTCACGTTGCTCTTTGCTGATGACCTGGCTCTTTTGGGAGATTCTGAAGAAAGTTTTTTAGAGGTTGGTGATGAATTTGGGAGGGGATCAAAAAAAGAAAAATAAAATGAATACGGGAAAAAGTAAGGTTTGAGGGTAACAAAAAGATTAGGTGATGAAAGATTGGATATCGATTGGAGGGAGAGGTATGGGGGAGGTATTCAGATATTTGGGGGGGAACGTGTCACGGGGGGTCTATGAAAAATGAGGTAATCATAGAATGAGAGGGGGAAAAGGGTGAGCGGTTTGCACTTAGGAGTCTGTGGAGACCAAAAAACTTTTTCCTTGGAGGGAAAGAGGGAATGTTGAAGTATAGTTTTACCAACGCTCTTTTATGGGTGTAAAGCATGGGGGATAAATGTTCAATAGGAGAAGGCTGGAGGCAGGGGGATGTCATGTCTGAGGGGAATGTGTGGGGGAATATATGCAGAGAATCGTAGTTTGGAAGTTGGAGGAGGGCGGGGATTACCAAAACTGTTGTCCAGAGGGTGAGGAAGGGTTGTTAGGTGGGTCGGACATGTAGGAGAATGGGGCCAAACAGAATGACTTTTAAGAGTATCAGTCTGTAGTGGAAGGAAGGCCGGGTAGGGGTCGGTCTAGGAAAGGTTGGAGGGAGAGGTAAAGGAGGTTTTGTGTGCGAGGGGCTTGGACTTCCAGCAGGCATGCTTGAGCATTTGATAGGAGTGAATGGAGACAAATGGTTTTTAATACTTGACGTGCTGTTGGAGTGTGAGCAAAGTAACATTTATTAAGGGATTCGGGGAAACTGGCAGGCCGGACTCGAGTCCTGGAGATGGGAAGTACTACAGCAGCAGCAGCAGCTGACAGTGGTACAACAGCAGCAGCAGCTGACAGTGCTACAGCAGCAGCAGACGATGCTACAGCAGCAGCAGACGATGCTACAGCAGCAGCAGACGATGCTACAGCAGCAGCAGCAGCTGACGGTGGTACAGCAGCAGCAGCAGCTGACGGTGGTACAGCAGCAGCAGCAGCTGACGGTGGTACAGCAGCAGCAGCAGCTGACGGTGGTACAGCAGCAGCAGCAGCTGTACCACCAATAGTAGCGATGGTTGATTGGGGTTTATTATACAACCTGGCCAGCTCGGAGACACGCACTCCACTTTCAATGATCTTTTTCTTCATCTCTATAGTAATTCTCACCCTTATTGCTGTAGGGTTGGCACTAGAAGCTTTCTTGGGGCCCATGGTCACTTATTTTGCAGATAAAATCACCAAAAACACTAATAATACGAAATGTTCCGATTGTATGCTTGGATGTTACCGCGGAGGCTGGCTGGTAAACAATGCCACCGGCGGAACATGTGAGCGTGGCTCAGGCCGCACATAGACGCGTCTCAGACGAACAGCGTTGAGCGGTTTTTTAGGCGGTATGCGAGGCAAAATCTTGGCGATAAAATGTAGCGGTATGCGGATTTAACGTTATGTAAGGCCAACGGTATGCGGGGGTCCACTGTATACATATATGTATATATATGATGAAAGTATTTTCTTTTTGGGGATTTTCCTTATTTTTGGGTCACCCTGCCTCGGTGGGAGACGGCCGACTTGTTAAAAAAAAAAAAAAAAAAGTGCAAGTAGAAGCTAGACGTACCTGAATCTTGCATGTTTACGAGACAGAAAAAAAAACACCAGCAATCCTACCATCGTGTAAAACAAATACAAGCTTCCTTTTTAACACTCCCTTGGTACAATGGTAGTACCTCCCTGAATGGTTGCTATCTACCAAATATAAAATCTAACAAAATTTTATAGTTATCCCTGACCGTCTGAGAGCCAGATGTAAATAATTACCAACTCAAACACGGTACTTTAACACTCACTTTCTAATGGTCCAAGCCAGGAGATCTTTGTGTGTTGATGTTCGGTTATGTCCCACTAAACCCTCAAGCAGGGACAACAGATTAATTTTTTGGGCACGACGTGTGAAGTGGAAATAGGGATCATTGTTGTGGTGGTATCGTTCCTCCTCATGCAGGGCATAGCCAATCAAGTGGAGGACCTTCTGTAGCTGCGACTCACTCACACTCTGAGTTTTCGTTTCGCTCATCCTGTGAGGTGATAAATTATAATGAAAAAATTATCCTATGGAAAGTGCATTACAAAACTGCAATACCATGAAGCCACTTGATATGAACTATCGTAGCAGATACAGCACCAGCATTCAAAACTCAACTTGGCCTATGTCTCAAAGTTATTTTTTTAAGACAATTATCCAAGAAAAATCAATGTAAGACAAAGTTTTTCCTCAGTAAGTCTTTATCAAAGTTTTCAATAAATCAAAATAAGTGATTGCCCTTCATAAATTTTGACCTTTGGATTCCTTTTACCTTATATGTATACATATAGACATAGAATGTTCTAACCCTACTGTAATAATTTATCATAATCAACGTGTTGAAGATGGAGAAGAATGCATACACTACCTTGGAATGCAAGTACATTAACGAGAAATGAGTGTACCATACATGGAAATTAACACACAACTTTGGAATGAGAATACATTACCTGGGAATGAGAGTCCACTACCTGAGAAAATAAGCAAGACTATGAAGCAGGAAGGTTGCCCAACCTGACCTTATAATGCAAACACTACTTTTTCATTATATACTTAATTTTTCAATGAAAGCTATTTAGGTTGAGTTAGTTTAGGTTAACATAAATTAACCAAATTTAACTCATTATAGTATGCATTAAGAGCAATAAATGCAATAAGGTATAACTGTGAAACCACTTTTAATGGTCAAATTTAAAACTGTGAACCAACAAGAAGACTGAGGAAGCATGACAATACAATTCATATTTTAATGTCACAGTCACTTTATTGGTGGTCTGCATCAGAGTAGTAAAATACTGACACTTTCTTATGAACACAGGTTGGGATTATCAAAAAGATAAACATTTTTTTTTTCCAACATGTCGGCCGTCTCCCACCGAGGCAGGGTGACCCAAAGAGAAAGAAAATCCCCAAAAAGAAAATACTTTCATCATCATTCAACACTTTCACCTCACTCACACATGATCACTGTTTTTGCAGAGGTGCCCAGAATACAACAGCTTAGAAGTACATACGTATAAAAATACACAATATATCTCTCCAAACTGCCAATATCCCAAACCCCTCCTTTAGAGTGCAGGCATTGTACTTCCCATTTCCAGGACTCAAGTCTGGTTATATAAAATAAACGGTTTCCCTGAATCCCTTCACTAAATATTACCCTGCTCACACTCCAACAGATCGTCAGGTCCCAAATACCATTTGTCTCCATTCCCTCCTATCTAACACGCTCACGCACGCTTGCTGGAAGTCCAAACCCCTCGCCCACAACACCTCCTTTACCCCCTCCCTCCAACCTTTTCGAGGACGACCCCTATCCCGCCTTCCTTCCCCTACAGATTTGTACGCTCTCCATGTCATTCTACTTTGATCCGTTCTCTCTAAATGACCAAACCACCTCAAAAACCCTCTTCTGCCCTCTTGACTAATACTTTTATTAACTCCACACCTTCTCCTAATTTCGACACTCCGAATTTTCTGCATAATATTTACACCACACACTGCTCTTAGACAGGACATCTCCACTGCCTCCAACCACCTCCTTGCTGCAGCATTTACAACCCAAGCTTCACACCCATATAAGAGTGTTGGTACTACTATACTTTCATACATTCCCTTCTTTGCCTCCATAGATAACATTTTTTGCCTCCACATATACCTCAATGCACCACTCACCTTTTTTCCTACATCAATTCTATGATTAACCTCATCCTCCATAAATCCATCCGCTGACACGTCAACTCCCAAATATCTGAAAACATTCACTTCTTCCATACTCCTCCTCCCCAATTTGATATCCAATTTTTCTTTATCTAAATCATTTGATACTCTCATCACCTTACTCTTTTCTATGTTCACTTTCAACTTTCTACCTTTACACACATTCCCAAATTCGTCCACTAACCTTTGCAATTTTTCTTTAGAATCTCCCATAAGCACAGTATCATCAGCAAAAAGTAACTGTGTCAATTCCCATTTTGAATTTGATTCCCCACAATTTAATCCCACCCCTCTCCCGAACACCTTAGCATTTACTTCCTTTACAACCCCATCTATAAATATATTACACAACCATGGTGACATTACATATCCCTGTCTAAGACCTACTTTTACCGGGAAGTAGTCTCCCTCTCTTCTACACACCCTAACCTGAGCCTCAGTATCCTCATAAAAACTCTTAACAGCATTTAATAACTTACCACCCATTCCATATACTTGCAACATCTGCCACATTGCTCCTCTGTCCACTCTATCATATGCCTTTTCTAAATCCATAAATGCAATAAAAACTTCCCTACCTTTATCTAAATACTGTTCACATATATGCTTCAATGTAAACACTTGATCTACACATCCCCTACCCACTCTAAAGCCTCCTTGCTCATCTGCAATTCTACATTCTGTCTTACCTCTAATTCTTTCAATAATAACCCTACCGTACACTTTTCCTGGTATACTCAGTAAACTTATTCCTCTATAATTTTTACAATCTCTTTTGTCCCCCTTCCCTTTATATAAAGGGACTATACACGCTCTCCGCCAATCCCTAGGTACCTTCCCCTCTTTCATACATTTATTAAACAAAAATACCAACCACTCCAACACTGTCCTCCCCCCCGCTTTTAACATTTCTGTCATGATCCCGTCAGTTCCAGCTGCTTTACCCCCTTTCATTCTATGTAATGCCTCACGCACCTCCCCCACACTCACATCCTGCTCTTCTTCACTCCTAAAAGATGATATACCTCCCTTGCCAGTGCATGAAATTACCGCCTCCCTTTCTTCGTCGGCATTAAAAAGCTCCTCAAAATATTCTCGCCATCCACCCAAAATCTCCATCTCCCCATCTACTAACTCCCCTTCTCTGTTTTAAACTGACAAATCCATTTGTTCCCTAGGCTTTCTTAACTTGTTTAACTCCAAAATTTTTTTCTTATTTTCATTAAAATTTCTTGACAGTACCTCTCCTACTCTATCATTAATTAGAACAAGAACTAAGATAAAATCAAAGATAACTCAGATGAGTGTGTATAAATAAACGTGTACATGTATGTTTAGTGTGACCTAAGTGTAAGTAGAAGTAGCAAGGCATACCTATAATCTTGCATATTTATGAGACAGACAAAAGACACCAGCAATCCTACCATCATGTAAAACAATTACAGGCTTTCGTTTTACACTCACTTGGCAGAACGGTAGTACCTCCCTGGGTGGTTGCTGTCTACCAACCTACTACCTACATATACATATAAATATAAATATACATATAAACATTAATGAACAAAACTGATCTAACAAAAATATTAAAAATATCTAACCTCTTGAGAACAGTTTTGATAATGTGAAGGAACACATCACACTGAAGAATATTCACTATCATGGTAAATGGTACTGTGAAGGGTGGAGGGACTGGAGGTGGACAGCACTCCTCTTCACCTGCTGCCTTCTTTCTTGCACGTTGCCCAACCTGAAAATACATACAGTAGTGCACTGAGGAGTCTGTGGAGACAAAGAACGTTATCCATGGAAGCAAAGAGGGGAAGGTATGAGAGTATAGTTGTATCAATGCTCTTATACGAGTGTGAAGCATGGGTGGTGAACATTGCAACAAGAAGGCTGGAGGCAGTGGAGATGTCATGTCTGAGGGCAATGTGAAGTGTGAATATAATACAGAGAATTCATAGTTCAGAAATCAGGAGGAGGTGCGGGGTTACTAAAAGTATTATCCACAGGGCTGAGGAGAGGTTGTTGAGGTGGTTCGGACATTTAGAGAGAATGGAGCAAAGTAGAATGACGGAGAGAATGTAAATCTGTAGTGGAAGAAAGGCGGGGTAGGGGCCGTCCTAGGAAAGGTTGGAGGGAGGGGGTAAAGGAGGTTTTGTGTGTGAGGGGCTTGGACTTCCAGCAAGCATGAATGAGCATGCTAGATAGGAGTGGAGACAAATAGTTTTTATGACTTGACGTGCTGTTAGAGTGTGAGCAAAGTAGCATTTATGAAGGGATTCAGAGAAATGGGCAAGGGGGCCTGGAGGTGGGAAGTACAGTGCCTGCACTTTGGAGGGGTGTTGATGTTACAGTTTTTTTTTAACTGTAGTGTAGGTGTGCCTCTGGCAAGACAGTGATGGAGTGAATGATGATTAAAGTGTTTCTTCTTTTCTGGGTCACCCTGCCTTGGTGGGAAACTACCGACGTGTTAACAAAAAAAAAAATCAACCAAAGATATTTAAAATGATCCCTAACAGCGTGCCCAGTACTCCGACACTGTGGTGCCTGCACCTAAAAAATACACACTGATAAGACAAAATACCCAAATATTCTACAAAATGGCTCCCACAACCAAAATATAATTATAATAACTGAAGACAACAGAATACTTAAAATGTCCTTGTTGGATGATAGAAAAGACACATTATGACCAAAAACAAAACATCAAAGGTTATACAAAAGTCGATAAAGCTTTGTTACCACCATTAACAAAGAGAACAAGAAACCTAAGTTATAAAGTGAGGAAAAAAAGCAGTGCCAAAAAGTACAAGAAAGATTGTCTTTACAAATAGTGGAAGAATGCTAGAAGTGGATCAGAGGGAACTAGTAAATTCTACTCCCAGCAAAAGCAAGGCAATAATGTTGGGAGACAAGCAAAGGAGCAGGAGAATGGGGAAAAAACTTCACAGAAGCAGTTAAATAAAAAGCCCTAGCAATAACAATTACCCTAAACCCATCCTCTGAAATACATATAACATCAGCAACACAAGCTAAGCTCACAAACTTAAGAATGGCATTCAGAACTTGTAGAGCACTTTAAAAACTATCTTTAACTTAAATATGCAACTCATTTTTGAGCAAGAGGCATAAGTATAGAACCTCTTGCCTAATAATACAGCATGAAAATTTAAAAACTTCAAGTGAGTGCTCTAGACTGGTGCCAAGGTAGAAAGTAATCATTTATGAAGAAAGAATTTTAGACCCAGGCCTTTTGCTTTTGGATGAATAAAGAACAAAAATATTTCATTAATACTGTGGGAAATAAACAGAACAGACAAATATAGGCTCATTACCAGGGAACAATCAAGCCTGCATGACTGAAAACTGTACATGCAGTACAGCCACAGGAATATCTTGAAAGTTCTCTATGTGAAAAAGTTGAATGAGCACCAGAATGAGAGTGGAAGCAGACTTCATAAGAGGTTCAGAAGTAGATCTGACAAAGCTACTGTATTTTATATTATTTGGTCAAATAAATGTAATTTACTGAGACAATGTGAATGCCATAGAAACTGTTAATAGTGCGTATTATACTTAACCTGAAAAAAAAGGAGGGGGGGGGGGGGAATTGACAGATGAAACAAAATAGGTTAATGAATGAGATACAAACTAAATTTTTAGAAATGCTGTCTTTTAAAGACAGGATTGAGAGGACACTACACTATAAGACACTACAATCATAGCTCCAATAACTGAAAACTGGGAAGATTTACTAAATCCAACATATACAAAAAAAATACATGTTAAATTATGAAAACAATCAATAAAGTGCAGTATTTTCAGCCAATTCCACTGTTCCAGCTGACTAAAGTCATAGGTAATTCGCTAGAACTCCATTTGTTCTATTGATCAAGTACAAGAAACTGCCCATTTACCAATTTTAACTACCCAATGAAGTGGTCAGAAATTGGCAATTTGGCCAATTTCAAAAGATGCCAATTTTAAAATAGGGTCCAGAATAAACAAGGCAGACATTCCTGGCACTAAAATAACATTTTTCTCTGGTTATTAGTCACATCTCCAGGACCTTCTTATATTACTCTTGCTTTCCATTTTGAAATTTTATTCTCACAAAAAATAGATGTACTGTTATGCAGACTATTGCATTATTATAATAATTGTATAAGTAATGTCAAGCCATTCATGACTGCATATTAGACTGGCCAGTTGGACACATATTGGACACGTATTTGTTTACTCTCAAGCATAATAAAAAATCAAGCATTTCCGCTACTTTGAGCTCAATTTCCAGGTACTTTTCATCATGAAACCAATCAAAATCATTCCATTTCTGTAACATACCTCCCATTCTATCAAATGAAATCAAGAAAACGAGAATACAACCACAAATACCATACGAAAATGCATCACAAAGTCACAGTTTTAAACTAAAAACATGGTCGGAGCTTTTTTCTCATTATTCACTGCGTGCTGTAGGATTTTTTTTATACTCCACACAATGACCATGCAGACCCATTCTTTTATATGTAGGCCTACCAACATTCTTCCACCAGATCTGAAGGAGCTAGAATTTTAGCGTAGTATTACGGGACCAACACTGGCTCTCAATCTGTAATATTATGGGACTGACACTGAAAGGGTTAATATGGGTTTAGAAACATTCTCTATAAGGAGTTACTATTTTAACAATGAATATTATTACCAGCACTCCTATACTACATACAGCTTTAACTATTGTTAAGAAAATAATCATAAAATTACCTAGAAGACATAATATTTCACCAATAAAATACACAAGCAACTAAAGTTACTACAGTACAAATATGCAATTTCTCTAGACAGATAAGAACAGTGTTGTGATGATCAATTAATTGTACACTATCCAGCATAAGATCTTACTTCTGACTTGCTCTGTTCTTCTCGGGTGTAGTGGTAAAAGAAGAGGTTGTAGTGAGAGTAGTAGGATTTCTTAAGTTCAAAATAGCCTTTTGTAGCACCAGATGACTTCTTGAAATCTGCAACTTCATCAATAACCTGTACAGAAGGGTAAAGAATAATTGTAAATACTTTTATCTTTTAAAATGAACAAATAAAAAGCAATAACAAAAACTAAAAACTACAAATGCAAAAACAAACAAAAACAACAGACAAAAGACAATATACAATATAGTAGAGGCCCCGCTTTATGGTGTTTCGCCTTACAGCGTTCCGCTAATACGGCGATTTCAAATTATGACCAAAACTTGCTATACGGCTCCCAGTCTTTCTAATACGGCGCACTCCACCCAGTTTGTTTACATTCTCCGTAAACACATCTCTATATTATGTCAGGAAACTTTCCAAAATTTCAAGTGTTTTAAGTTATTGCATATTTTATATTTTTTTATTATTATTATTATCACACTGGCCGATTCCCACCAAGGCAGGGTGGCCCGAAAAAGAAAAACTTTCACCATCATTCACTCCATCACTGTCTTGCCAGAAGGGTGCTTTACACTACAGTTTTTAAACTGCAACATTAACACCCCTCCTTCAGAGTGCAGGCACTGTACTTCCCATCTCCAGGACTCAAGTCCGGCCTGCCGGTTTCCCTGAATCCCTTCATAAATGTTACTTTGCTCACACTCCAACAGCACGTCAAGTATTAAAAACCATTTGTCTCCATTCACTCCTATCAAACACGCTCACGCATGCCTGCTGGAAGTCCAAGCCCCTCGCACACAAAACCTCCTTTACCCCCTCCCTCCAACCTTTCCTAGGCCGACCCCTACCCCGCCTTCCTTCCACTACAGACTGATACACTCTTGAAGTCATTCTGTTTCGCTCCATTCTCTCTACATGTCCGAACCACCTCAACAACCCTTCCTCAGCCCTCTGGACAACAGTTTTGGTAATCCCGCACCTCCTCTTAACTTCCAAACTACGAATTCTCTGCATTATATTCACACCACACATTGCCCTCAGACATGACATCTCCACTGCCTCCAGCCTTCTCCTCGCTGCAACATTCATCACCCATGCTTCACACCCATATAAGAGCGTTGGTAAAACTATACTCTCATACATTCCCCTCTTTGCCTCCAAGGACAAAGTTCTTTGTCTCCACAGACTCCTAAATGCGCCACTCACTCTTTTTCCCTCATCAATTCTATGATTCACCTCATCTTTCATAGACCCATCCGCTGACACGTCCACTCCCAAATATCTGAATACGTTCACCTCCTCCATACTCTCTCCCTCCAATCTGATATTCAATCTTTCATCACCTAATCTTTTTGTTATCCTCATAACCTTACTCTTTCCTGTATTCACCTTTAATTTTCTTCTTTTGCACACCCTACCAAATTCATCCACCAATCTCTGCAACTTCTCTTCAGAATCTCCCAAGAGCACAGTGTCATCAGCAAAGAGCAGCTGTGACAACTCCCACTTTGTGTGTGATTCTTTATCTTTTAACTCCACGCCTCTTGCCAAGACCCTCGCATTTACTTCTCTTACAACCCCATCAATAAATATATTAAACAACCACGGTGACATCACACATCCCTGTCTAAGGCCTACTTTTACTGGGAAAAAATTTCCCTCTTTCCTACATACTCTAACTTGAGCCTCACTATCCTTGTAAAAACTCTTCACTGCTTTCAGTAACCTACCTCCTACACCACACACTTGCAACATCTGCCACATTGCCCCCCCTATCCACCCTGTCATACGCCTTTTCCAAATCCATAAATGCCACAAAGACCTCTTTAGCCTTATCTAAATACTGTTCACTTATATGTTTCACTGTAAACACCTGGTCCACACACCCCCTACCTTTCCTAAAGCCTCCTTGTTCATCTGCTATCCTATTCTCCGTCTTACTCTTAATTCTTTCAATTATAACTCTACCATACACTTTACCAGGTATACTCAACAGACTTATCCCCCTATAATTTTTGCACTCTCTTTTATCCTCTTTGCCTTTATACAAAGGAACTATGCATGCTCTCTGCCAATCCCTAGGTACCTTACCCTCTTCCATACATTTATTAAATAATTGCACAACCACTCCAAAACTATATCCCCACCTGCTTTTAACATTTCTATCTTTATCCCATCAATCCCGGCTGCCTTACCCCCTTTCACTTTACCTACTGCCTCACGAACTTCCCCCACACTCACAACTGGCTCTTCCTCACTCCTACAAGATGTTATTCCTCCTTGCCCTATATTTTATATGTACTCTGATAATTATACTTATGTATAACTGTACCTAAATATGCTTAAACACTGTGCTGGCATGCAGGCACACATTAAAATCACTAAGAGTCTCTCTACTCTTGATGCCATATTAATAATAATACATAATCTCTTGGGAGCATTAAATGTTGTATGATACATTAATATAGACATTTCCATTAATCCATCTATGATATTTTTTCAAAATGATAATAAACACACTACATAACATATAAACATGATAAATACACCCCACAGTAGAATAAATTAACATAAATATGAGATGTGGTAGCCAGGTAACTTGTAGTCCAACATCAGAGAAAATGTATACACTATAATATTACTGGGGGTAACTAGAAAATTATTTATTTTGTATTTAAGTAAGTTTACTCAGGTATACACAAATAGAGTTACATAGATTATCATACATAGCAGCATATATGTAGAGAACCTAGGATAGCCCAAAAACATCCAAGTGATTTATTTCCATATGCCTTCACTCAGTGTCATTTCTTCTAAAAATGATGTTACATGAGAATTGGAGTGTTTCTCTATGTATTTTACTGTATCACCATGGAAAAAATTGGACACAATGTAAAGTTTTTTTTTTTTTTTTCAACAAGTTGGTCGTCTCCCACCGAGGCAGGGTGACCCAAAAAAGAAAGAAAATCCCCAAAAAGAAAATACTTTCATCATCATTCAACACTTTCACCACACTCACACATTATCACTGCTTTTGCAGAGGTGCTCAGAATACAACAGTTTAGAAGCATATACGTATAATATACATATTATGGTATAATACAAAAAAATGTATGAACGAAAACCAGACGCATTCGTATGGTTTGTTTACATTACGTGTGGGTGGGGTGGGGCGGGAAGGGCTGCCTTGGCTGGCTACTATACTTCACAAACCTGACTTCCTACAAATAAAACTCGCCTCTCACCCTACATTAAGACTACAAATATTTTAAGGTAAGTAATGGGTGTACTGTGTGTGTATTTTACTTTTTATTATTTTTAATGCCTAGTTTAATTGCTAACTTAATATGTTTTAGTGTAAACTTGTTATCTGGCATTTATATGCATTTATAAGTGGAAAAAATGGTGCTCTGCTTTCCGGTAATGTCTGCTTTTCAGAAGTAGCCTGGAACTAACCTGCAATGTAAGTGGGGCCCTACTGTACTCGGATAATGGAAAGGAACTATTACATTTATGGATTTAGAAAGAGCATATGATAAGGTGAATAAGGAACCTCTGTGGCAGATGTTGCAAATATATGGAATAGGTAAGTTACTAAAAGCAAAAGAAGTGAATACTAGGGTGTTGGGGAGAGGCATGTGATCAAGAGACGATTCTTACATGAAGTATGAATTATAACATTTGCTCTTTGCCTATGACAATTCTATTGGTTAATTCTGAAGAGAAGTTGCAAAGGTTGCTGGAAGAACTTAGAAAGGTGTATAATTAAAAGGAAATAAAAAACAAGTACAGTAAGACCCCACTCATATGGAAGGTTAGGTTCCAGGCTACCGCCTTAAAACAAAAATCAGTAAAGCGTAATGCCATTTTTTCCACTTATCAATGTATAGTAAAGGGTTGTCACAAGAAGGGTTGGGGAGCTGGGTGTTAAGTGACAAGGGCTTTATCATCCAGCAGGCATGTTTGAGCTTATTAAATTGGAATGAGCAGAGGTAAGCAACTTCTATGGACTGACAAGTCCTCAGAGTGCACAGTGTAACATTATGAAAGAATTCAGGAGAACAGCATTATGAAGGAATTTAGGAGAACAGAATTAAAATCAGCCAAGTATCAAGTAGCAAAACATTAAAGCAAAATAGTCAGTTTAAATACTCTAAAGCTGTATAATAAAAAATATTAAACAAACCTTTTCCATGCCAGTCTCATGATTGGTTCCTTCAGGAAGAGCCTTATTTAGAACAGAGTGTGGCATAGGTTCAATACAAAGGAGTTGAATGATTTCTTTCTTAATTTTATCCTCTTCCTCAATATGGCCAATGCCTGGAGTGTATCGTTCTGCCACCAGTGTCATTACCAACTGCAGGTACTCCTCCACAAGCACTACAGTTTGTCTCATGTTATCTTCATCATTACCCTGAAAAATTTTTTGTTAGCAAGTAAACAAAATTTCTTAACATAGTTAATCATATCAATCTATTTCAACAATTTTCTGTTAAAGCACTAATCAAACAAAATATACAAAAAAAAATGTCTTAAATATTTTTTATTAGGAAGACTAAATGTATGAATACTTCGCAGTAGCTCTCCTTACTAAAGAAAAGCTGACCTGGGTGCCAAATAACATCTCTGATTTACTCAGTTCTTATAATGAATCCATCTAAGCATTGCCTTACCTTCCTATTGATGAGATTTATGGATTAGTGTATCACACTAATCCATAAATCTCATTAAGCATGTAAACCTATATATATATAGAGTATTAATTTTCTAATTGTATTTTTTAACATGCTAGCCGTCTCCCGAGGCAGGGTGACCCCCCACAAAAAAAATAATAAAAAATCACCATCATTCACACTACCACTGTATTTGCTGAGTGGCGCAAATACAACAGTTTAGATATCAATAACAGCAAATATCCCAAACATCCCCTTTAAAGTGCAGGCACTGTACTTCCTACCTCCAGGACTCAAGTCTGGCTAACCAGTTTCCCTGAATCCCTTCACAAAATATTACCCTGCTCACACTCCAACAGCTCATCAAGTCTCAAAAACCATTCATCTCCACTCACTCCTATACACGCTCACACGTGCCTGCTGCATGTCCAAGCCCCTTGCACACAAAACCTCTTTTATCCCCTTCCTCCATCCTTTCCTTGGACAACCCCTACCCCTCCTTACCTCCACTACAGATTTATACACACTCCAAGTCATCCTATTTTGCTCCATCCTCTCTAAATGACAACTCAACAATCCCTCCTCAGCCCGCCGAATAACACTCTCAGTAACTGCACCTCCTCCTAATTTCCACACTATGAATTTTCTGCATAACATTTACACCACACACTGCCCTAAGACACAACATCTGTTTATCTCTAGTTACCTTGCTTCAAGGAACTTAATCTTTAAATACTAAAACCAGTTATAAATACACCACATACTCATATGGGAACTGCTCAAACAATTAAAGAAAAACCCTTACCTTTAAATAGTTTATTTCATAATCTTCTCTTGCCCAGCTCATTAAGTTGAATCTGTTCATGAGATGCACCAGAAACTCGTTAGAGTCTATAAGAGTAGCAGCTATCTGTAAGAGCATCACATCACGATCTAGCATCTCTTGTCTACATCGTACATTATGGTAGAAATATATCTGGTTGATGAGGGAGAAGCCATTACGTCGCCACATCCCAGCATGAACCTGAGATTAAATTATCTAGAATTAAAACATTTTAATATGAAGATACAGCAAATGTTAAAATGTGACATAAATGTGAAGAACAAATTAGAAGATTCGAAATACAGGACCTATGGAAATTTATTTTAATTAAAACTAAAAGCATGATTGACTGTTCCTGAAGATTACTGTCCTGAACATCTTGCTTTGTTCTCACAATCCTGCCGAGTATAGAAGATATGAAATATTCAGTGTCATTTTATGATAGCTCTCTTGATGTAATACTTTTATATACTTCCCAGGAATGAGCCTCTCCATCCTATCAAACCGAGATATATCTACTTTACCTGAGCAATCATGACTTGTGTTCTGAGAACTGGTTCCATCAGTTCCTCAGGAGATGGCTTGCCTTTCACTAAAAATTCAGGAGAATTGTAGTTAAGGCCATATTTATCAAGATGAAGTGTCAGACCTGCTACCAAGCGAGAGAGTGGGAGATGGATTGACACTGGTGCTGAGGAGACATCATACTCAATACAGGATACAGAATAATCTAACAATTCCCGAACGTATCTTCTCCGTGTTGCTTCTGTACCCAAGTCTCCAAGAGACTTCATTAATAACCTGAAAGAACATTTTAAAAAATTAAAACTGGCTTTTCTTCTCAGGTTTAGAGTCTTGTTTCTCTCCATCAGAAGTAAGGAAATTCAGTACACAATTTACACAAATATTTTCAACAGTGAATTTAAGAGGCATTAAATTTTTTGCCAATAACACTGGTCTGCATCTGGAATGTTTTTAATTATTATTTTTATTCATGGGCTGCTGATTTTAAATATCTAAACCATTTTGCTCTATCACATAAGGATTTTGAATAAAATACAAATTAATGATAAAAAAATGTGAATTATTAATAAATTGTTAATTTATTAAAATTAGGCAAGTAATCATGAAAAAGCACCTTCTGTTAGTTTTAAGAATATATGAATTCCAAATCAAAATGAATCAACTCGAATGATTTTATAAAAACTATGCCCCTAATGGTTAGCCTACATACTGACTCGAAGGAGGATTGCTTTGATTTTCACTTGTGCTGTGCATTGAGACCATTACATTTCAATGACAAGCAGTAATCCGCCATCATGCCGACATTCCATTTGCCCTGGTATTGAGTTTCCATGGTGCAAATATCCTGATGGAACGCTCTCCTTGTTCCTCACTGTAGTCCCCACAAATGTTGGGAAAATAGTAAAGATGCGAGTACAGAAAGTGCATCTTCACATTCATTCTAGACCCAAGATGTTGGAAACCTGAAATCAGGTCTTATATCATTTTTTCATATTTGGGGGAGCACCTGTTTCCCATGAATTTGTGGACAATCTGCTTGAATGAAAACCAGGCATTCACCTCAACACCTGCTAATGCTTCACCAGTTCCTGAATCTGAGGGCCAACAAAGATTCCTGCCTTTAGCTTGCCTTCACTTATACAAGGAAACTGACTCCAGGTACTTGAAAGCAGTTCCATTCTTGTTTAAGGTCTTCACAAAATTTTTTTAAGTCCTAATTTGATGTGGAGTGGTGGTAGCAGAATTTTCTTGGGGTCAACTAGTGGCACAGTTTTCTAGTTGTGATTTCCAGGCAAGAAGCTGGTACTTGGTGGCCAGTCTTTTTGTTCATAGTGCTGGCTGTCTGCCCTACTATCCCAAAGACACAGAAAACAGGGATACTTAGTGTATCTGCCTTAACCCTTTCAGGGTCCAAGGCCCAAATCTGGAGTCATGCACCAGTGTCCAAGAATTTTCAAAAAAAAAAATTTGTTATTTTTTCTTATGAAATCGTAGAGAATCTTTTTGTGAAGGTAATAAAACAAAAAGTACGAAATTTGGTGGAAAATTGACGAAATTATGCTCTCGCGAATTTTGATGTGTCAGCGATATTTACGAATCGGCGATTTTGCCGACTTTGACTCCCATTTTAGGCCAATTACATTATTCCAATCAACCAAATTCTTAGCTATTTCACTAGTATTACTTCTGTTCTATCGATTGAGCACAAGAAATCGCCAAGTCAAATGTTTCAACTACAAAATAAAGTGATCGGAAATTGTTAATTTGGCCAATTTAACACAAAGTTCAAAATATTCCAATTTCAAAATAGGGTCCAGAATGAACAATGTAGGCATTCCTGGCACTAAACTAACATTTCCTCTGTTCATTAGTTATGTTTTGAGGCTTTACAAATAAATTTCATTTTGATTTTTTATTCACATAATGAATTTTTATTCACACCAAAAAATAGAAGATTTACTGTTATGCAATACTGTAATAATTGTATAAATATTATCACCATATTTGTGAATGTATATTAGACCCACCAGCTGACGTGTATTAGACGTGTGAGGTCGTTTGTTTACTCTTGAATATCGGCAAAAATTTAACATTTCTGCTACTTTGAGCTCAGTTTCAAGCCATTTCCAGTGCTAAAACCAATCAAAATCATCTCTATTTCTGTAATATATCTTCCATTCTATCAAATGAGACCAAGAAATCGCAAATACAACTATAAAAAACATACGAAAAAACACTGCAAAGTTGCTGTTTTAATCGAAAAATCATGATTTCATTTTTTTTCTCTCATTATACACAGTGTGCTGCAGGATCTGTTTTATGTGGTGCACACATACCACATAGATGTATTCTCTCATATCTAGGCCCAAATGTACCACTCACAGTTTATCAGAGTGAGCTGAGCTCATGGCGTAGATCTACGGTTTGGACCCTGAACGTAAAGCTGTAGATCTACGGGACGGACCCTGAAAGGGTTAAAGACCTAGTAGCAGAGCAATAACTTTTACATCACCACAAATGAGAAAATTGTGATTCTGGTACTTAATTGCAGATATTAGTGTCTTCATATTTGCATACGTTTCTGACATTTGGACACTAAGGCCAAATGGCACAGATGCAGTTGTGTTGCCATTGTAGAGAAGTACAGCCTTTAAACTTTTTAGAAGAATCAATGAAGAGTTTCCATTCATCTGCTTTGTATGACATCCCCATGTGTTCAATAAGGCCAGAAATATTTGAACAGGAAACTAAAGATTCCTCTTTGTCAAAGAGCTGAGTGAATTCCGCTTGACGATGACGGTACTAAGCGAATGTTGTTCCAGGAGCTAGAAGCTTGTGTTTCTTCAGTCTAAAGCCAAGTAACTGTGCACTTTCTTTTGGAAAGTAAAGGCCTCTCACCAAGTCATTGAGATCAACTTGGTTAAAGGGTTTGGGATCATCATTTGTTGGTGGTTCACAGTCTACTGCCATCTCCTTAGAATCACTGGTATCAAACTGATGAAATTTTCCATGTTTCAGGTGGCACAGGTACAAGGAATATCTTCAGAGTCTGGAACAGGCCTTATTGCTGAAGGAATATTTGGGTATAATATGCAATCTTTAGTTGAATCCAGCTACTTTAGTCATACAAAAGTAACAGTCATCATGGTGGTTCACCTGCTCCTGCCATACCACTGGTACTCCAAAGGGCATACATGTAAGTTTTCCAACTGACCACATTTGGAGCTTACTGATGCAATTCTTGCAAGCTTTGTGTGGTGCAAATGGTTTGTCCTGGTCTCCAATTTTGTAGCCAAAATAAGCAAAGTAGCAGCTCTTCAATAAAGGAGTAATGTTGCTTCGGGAATCCGAAGGGGTGAATTGCCCGCAGACATATCAAAATATGTCTGGTGAATTTATGCAGCCTCTAGACATATTAATAATCTGAAAATAAAGAATATATTAGATTTAACATTTAAGTCAATATAAGGCAAGTATTTTAATTGGTAATATACCACTTTCTCATTTACTTTTGTTATACAAAAAGATAAAAGTAACATTTCCATATAACTTGACAACCTGATGTGATAGAGATGAATAAAAAACACAATGAATCACTATTTTCCATACATATACCAAAAAAGAAATCACAGAGTCAATAAAAAAAATTATGCAGACCAGTGTAATCATTCATAAGTGTATCTATGACATCAATGAGTTTGAATATAACATAATGACAATAAAAGCTCTTGAAAAAACAAGGGATGCTTTAAGAAGGATGAGACATGATAGAGATAAAAAAAAAAAAAAAATCACTCAAGTCAAAGTAACTGGATACTGAACATTTAATTTACAAGTCCAAAGAGTATTAACTCTACCTATATGATTTGATGAGGACAATACGATCTGATGCAGCCCACTCAATCACAAGTGGTATGACAGCTGCCAACTTGATATGAAGGTTGAATGCAGATTCCCACTCTGGCTCATACTCCATGTGTGTGCCCACTTGTCGGACCATAGGATCCATGCCCTTTCGTAGAATAATTAATGAAAACAAAAATGCTTATACAGTATATGAAAGATTGAAAACCAAGACTGATTTAAGCATATATATAAAGGAAATTCTGGAAATTCAGAACAGTATTAATTAGGAAAGCAAAAAATTACTGGTAAGACAGAAATAAAGATAATGAATCTACAAATGATGACCTGTCTGAAAAACAGTTACCAATAACTTTAGTGAGATATAAAGATTAAAAGGAAGAGGATTAAATGAAAAAATGTATTTAAAATGTTAGAAATATTGTACACAATAATTTTCTATAGATCTCAATAGGTAAAAACTAACACATGCATTACAATATTTTAGCACAGTATGTTAGAAACAAATACGGTGGAACCTCAAAAATCAAACGTATCACATATCGAACGTTTCGAAAATAAGACCATTTTTTCGGACAAACTGTGTCCCTATTATCGAAAGCGCCCCTATTTTCGGACCGCCGGGTACGGGACCTGTCCGCTGGCCCGCTCTGTCCGCATCCCCGCACAGGCGCCGTGAGCAGTCTAGCTTTGTTTATGCTTGAGTGAACACTAACCTGCGATCTCATTCACACATTTTACGATTATTTAATTGTGTTTAGTGCTTGTGGGGCTGTGAAATAAGCTGCCATGGGTCCAAAGAAACTTGCTAGCGGTACCCCTGTGGTAAAGAAAGCGAGAAACACCATAGATGTGAAGAAGGAAATAATACAGAAGTATGAGATTGGAGTGAGACTTGTTGAGCTTGCCAGGATGTACAGAGGACTGTGGACAGTTATTTTGTGAGACAGAAACAGACGACTGTGGACAGTTATTTTGCGAGACATATACAGATGACTGTGGATAGTTATTTTGTGAGACAGAAACAGAGGACTGTAGACAGTTATTTTGTGAGACTGGGGTCCAATGACTCTCAAGCTGGTCCTAGTGGCATTAAAATACAGAGAAGGGAAGCAACTCCAGAGAGGGCTTTGATACCAGAAGTCCTCATGAAGGGGAATTCTCCTTCCAAACAATAACCCCAACTCCCTCTCTCCTCCTCCCTATCTTCCAGATGCCATCACCAATCTTCAATAAAGGTAAGTAAAAATGTTATTTTATATTACTATACATAATTAAAGACTACAGCATTTTTTTTTTTTTTTTTCAACAAGTCGGCCGTCTCCCACCGAGGCAGGGTGACCCAAAAAAAAGAAAGAAAATCCCCAAAAAGAAAATACTTTCATCATCATTCAACACTTTCACCACACACACACATTATCACTGCTTTTGCAGAGGTGCTCAGAATACAACAGTTTAGAAGCCTATACGTATAGAGATACACAACATATCCCTCCAAACTGCCAATATCCCAAACCCCTCCTTTAAAGTGCAGGCATTGTACTTCCCATTTCCAGGACTCAAGTCCGACTATATGAAAATAACCGGTTTCCCTGAATCCCTTCACTAAATATTACCCTGCTCACACTCCAACAGATCGTCAGTCCCAAGTATCATTCGTCTCCATTCACTCCTATCTAACACGCTCATGCACGCTTGCTGGAAGTCCAAGCCCCTCACCCACAAAACCTCCTTTACCCCCTCTTTCCAACCCTTTCGAGGACGACCCCTACCCCTCTTTCCTTCCCTATAGATTTATATGCTTTCCATGTCATTCTACTTTGATCCATTCTCTCTAAATGACCAAACCACCTCAACAACCCCTCTTCTGCCCTCTGACTAATGCTTTTATTAACTCCACACCTTCTCCTAATTTCCACACTCCGAATTTTCTGCATAATATTTACACCACACATTGCCCTTAGACAGGACATCTCCACTGCCTCCAACCGTCTCCTCGCTGCTGCATTTACCACCCAAGCTTCACATCCATATAAGAGTGTTGGTACTACTATACTTTCATACATTCCCTTCTTTGCCTCCATAGATAACGTTTTTTGACTCCACATATACCTCAACGCACACTCACCTTTTTTCCCTCATCAATTCTATGATTAACCTCATCCTTCATAAATCCATCCGCCGACACGTCAACTCCAAGTATCTGAAAACATCACTTCTTCCATACTCCTCCTCCCAATTTGATATCCAATTTTTCTTTATCTAAATCATTTGATACCCTCATCACCTTACTCTTTTCTATGTTCACTTTCAACTTTCTACCTTTACACACATTCTCAAAACTCATCCACTAACCTTTGCAATTTTTCTTTAGAATCTCCCATAAGCACAGTATCATCAGCAAAAAGTAACTGTGTCAATTCCCATTTTGAATTTGATTCCCCATAATTTAATCCACCCCTCTCCCGAACACCCTAGCATTTACTTCTTTTACAACCCCATCTATAAATATATTAAACAACCATGGTGACATTACACACCCCTGTCTAAGACCTACTTTTACCGGGAAGTATTCTCCCTCTCTTCTACACACCCTAACCTGAGCCTCACTATCCTCATAAAAGCTCTTTACAGCATTTAGTAACTTACCACCTATTCCATATACTTGCAACATCTGCCACATTGCTCCTCTATCCACTCTATCATATGCCTTTTCTAAATCCATAAATGCAATAAAAACTTCCCTACCTTTATCTAAATACTGTTCACATATATGCTTCAATGTAAACACTTGATCTACACATCCCCTACCCACTCTGAAGCCTCCTTGCTCGTCCGCAATTCTACATTCTGTCTTACCTCTAATTCTTTCAATTATAACCCTACCGTATACTTTTCCTGGTATACTCAGTAAACTTATTCCTCTATAATTTTTACAATCTCTTTTGTCCCCTTTCCCTTTATATAAAGGGACTATACATGCTCTCCGCCAATCCCTAGGTACCTTCCCCTCTTTCATACATTTATTAAACAAAAGTACCAACCACTCCAACACTATATCCCCCCTGCTTTTAACATTTCTGTCATGATCCCATCAGTTCCAGCTGCTTTACCCCCTTTCATTCTACGTAATGCCTCACGTACCTCCACCACACTTACATTCTGCTCTTCTTCACTCCTAAAAGATGGTATACCTCCCTGGCCAGTGCATGAAATTACCGCCTCTGTTTCTTCCTTAACATTTAAAAGTTCCTCAAAATATTCTCGCCATCTACCTAATACCTCCCTCTCCCCATCTACTAACTCCCCTACTCTGTTTTTAACTGACAAATCCATACTTTCCCTAGGCTTTCTTAACTTGTTTAACTCACTCCAAAATTTTTTCTTATTTTCATTAAAATTTCTTGACAGTGCCTCTCCCACTCTTTCATCTGCTCTCCTTTTGCATTTGTTGTGTGTATGTAAAACTGTAATTAATCTCTATAAAATGTATTTTTTTGTGAATATTTTTGGGTTTCTGGAACGGATTAATTGTATTTCCATTATTTCTTATGGGAAATATTGCTTCGAATTTCAGACTTTTCAAATTTAGAACTAGCTCCTGGAATGGTTTAAGTTCGAAATTTGAGGTTCCACTGTATACTAACCTGCATCATGCCAAGAAGGCGGAGAAGGAGATTGTACCCATGGAGAAACCCTCGGCGGAGACTGTCTGTCCAAGCCTCTGGCTTCACCCCTAACAAGTACTTGAGGTCATACAGAATATACTGGATACGACGGAAAGATGACGTGTTTGAGCTGCGGTGTTCAAGGGCCAGCTTATCTGTTACACAAATGGAAAACTTTAAAACATGTTAAAAGAGCATATTATTACTGTATATTCAAGCAAACCAAAGCATCACCAAGAATGTAATTTTAACCCTTCAACTGTCCACACGTAGATATACACTGACATGCGGCAGGCTCCAAACGTAGATCGACGTTTTATTTTTTATTCCTTCAAAATTGGGGCGATAGGCCTGAGTCGCCTAGGCATGAAAAAAATTGGGGACACTGGGGTACCGCGTGGTAACACCAGTTAGTTTCAGCTCCATCTTGGGTCAACAACATGGCAAACCCGTGATTCACTGATGCCTCATCGTATTAACACTACTATTCTTGGAAAGTGATACAGAACGCGAGTTTAGTGGTTTTGACTCCGATATAGCCACTAAAGATCAAGGAATTAGTGAAACTTTTGTTGATAACCCAAATGACCCTCAGGCCATGACCTCTGGGGTGGCAAGTGTGGATAGTGTGGACAGTGTGGCCATATCAGACCCTCAGCCCAGCACTTCTGGGAGTTGCTAGTGTTAGTTCCCAAAGGCAACTCCACAAGAGAAAATTATCATTTTCCCTTCGTTTGGGTGATGACAATAGTGAAAGTGATATAAGTGACGACGATGAAATCGATTTTACGCCGGTAAGACAATTTGTCAAGTGAAAGTGATTATCATTATTCCACATTGAAACATACTTTTAGGCGTTGTAACCTACGTTCAGGCAGTGTGCCACATATAGTCGGCAGCAAGGGTCGTGACAGGTCACGATCCAAAACCCCAGCCACTGATAGTGATAGTGAGTGATAATGAAGGTGAATATGCTGGGATGGAGGAAGAGGGGGGATGGCATGGTGCCTGGACCTCGTGGCACAGTGGGTGGGCAGATAAAGGACCGCCCGGCACCCTCTCAACCATGTGCTGCCTCCACTCCTGTCCTCCCTCCTGCTCCCCCACGCCCCATGCCACAGGTCCACCCTGCATCATCTGATTGCAAATGGAACTGGAAAAAGTACACCATTTGTGCCACATCCTTTCAATTTTGATGCCAGTGGAAGTGGCATCATGCCACACTGTCCCATCACAAATGAGTCTACAGAGTTAGACTATTTTCAACTATACTTTGATGAGCTGATAATGAACCTAATTGTTACCCAGACCAACATGTACTACCAGTATACAATGGACCACACAGACGTTTCAGAGTCTTCACGGCTGCGAAGGTGGAAGGATACAACTGTGGCTGAAATGTATTTATTCCTTGGCACTGTCATGTTTATGCCACACACATAAGAACAATATAGCACACTACTGGTTCACAGACTTGATCGGTACTCCAGTCTTCCGTGACCTCCTTCCCTGCAACATTCACTCTGTTGTTACGGATGTTGCACTTCTCAGACAGGAATATGCCAAACAGAAATGACCGCTTATACAAAATCCAGGAATTGTTTATGTATCTGAAGCAAAAATTCAGTGCCTACTTTTATCCATTCAAGAACATTGTTGTCAACGAGTCCTTGGTTCTGCTCAAGGGACGACTGTCATTCAAACAATATATACCAAGCAAACGTAATCGCTTTAATATAAAACTCTGTTATGTGTGACTGAGACTAGTCTTGTGTTGGATGTCATCATCTACACAGGGAAAAATACACTCGGCGATACCAGGCACATGTTGGGCATTTCTAGGGATGTTGTTCGCAAGATGATGGGGGCCATACCTTGGCAAAGGTCAAACATTGTACACAGACAACTGGTATACAAGCCTTATGCTCGCTGATTTCCTATGTGTGAACAATACTGATATATGTGGAACAGTGAGAAGTAGAAAACAAATGCCAAGGTTCACTGGAGGAAGTCTAGTGGAAGCGTTTCATGCCAATGACATCATGGCACTGATGTGGCATGAGAAATGGGATGTGACATTGCTGTCAACCATCCACAGAAACAAGATGGTACAAACAGACTGAGTGGGTTCAACAATGAACCTATTGTAAAGCCAGCTGTTGTCATCGACTATACAAACAATATGCGACTAGCCGACAAATGTGACATGATGATAGGGTTTGTCGACTGTGTGCATAGGAGTCGCAAGTGGTATATAAAAGTGTTTTTTCCACCTTGTAGACATTGCAATGCTAATGCCTTCAACATGTATGAAATAAAGACTGCGAAGTGACAACAATATGCAGAATTCACCCTCAATGTCATCAAGCAGATAGCGACAAAGTATGGTACCACACCTATACCTGTCACTCCACAGCGACCTGTCACCCCACAACAAGAGGGGGGAAGTGCCCAACCAAATAATCCCTAACTGTCACTGCCTGGTAACATTACCATCTACTCCAAAGAAGAAGTCCTCTCAGAAAAAGCGAGTTGTGTGTGCTTACACTAAACAGCGACCCCAAGTGCGAAAAAAAACACGATACATGTGTCAGCAATGTGGGGTGGCACACTGTATGAATCCATGCTTCTAGGAGTACCATACAGTGGTAGACTTCTAGAAACATAAATGGGACTTGTAAATACCTTGTATATACATATATGTAAACAATAGTACGTGACTGAACCAGGTGTACAAATTCATTTATCAGTGTGAACATGTGTGCTTGTGACAGTATGATTACTAATTCAGTACCAAACATTTGTGTCTCAACAAGAATTGGCTATGAAATCAAAAGATCTGCAACAAAACATTATTATCATAACATGAAGACAACAAAAAATAGAAAATAATTGGAAAAACGATAAATGTTTATTATTTCTGCAAGCGGCAGTGCTCCATGTTGCCGACACATCATCATTTAGCACCAACTTCGCGGGCTTATGTCTCGGTAAGTAGTGACCCTAAATTTTTTTTTTTTAGCCTATAACATTTATAAAATTGCACTCTTCAATTTAAAAAAAAAAAAAAAAAGATTTTTTTATTTTTCAAAATATTCGGAGCACTGCCCAGGCAAATGTTTATCCACGTTTGGACAGTTTAAGGGCTAAAATTTCTTTGTTGTTAATACTTACTTGCTTAAAACATACTGTCCAGCAGTGGTGAGTAAGCATTCCTGTGTGTTTTTATTGCCAAATGAATTATGACTCATAAAGCATAAGTAAGTGAGGTATGTAGATGACCATGAAATATTTGATATGTATACCACACGAAAATTTAACGATTTGTCTTTTACCTTTACGAGTTTATATTTAATGCCCCCACTCCTCCTTTTTTTTTACAAACTACTAAGTCGAATCACCTCTAGGCTAGGCTGATAAAAAAACATCAATTACAGTGGACCCCCAGATTGCATCATCAGAATATGTAATATGTATTCGGAATAAGCAATTTTTTTCGTAAAAATATTGGCTTGGTGATCGTCACTGAACTTGGTACAAATCATTCGTCTGGAACGTGTCCGTGCAGCCTGAGCAGCCCTGACACTCCATGTACAGCAAGTGTGCCATTGTTTATCAGCCAGTGAGGACGATCAAACATGTTCAGACGATATATTTTGTATCATTACATTCTTTTTAGTGCTTGCAACTGCTAAATAAGTCACCATGGGCCTAAAGAAAGTTCCTAGTGCCAGCCAGCCCTTTGGTAAAGGGCTGAGAGAGAGGGGAGAATGTGCCTTTTTCAGTAATTCAGCAATATGTACAATACTAAAGCAGCAGGAGTTGATAAAGGCTATAGTGCCAGCCAGCAATAAAGTGTAGCATTAACAATGTAGCAAGTAAGTTAAGCGATTAATCGATAGAAAAAGGACAGCATGAAACTGACTCCTCCATTGTTGTTGGAGGTATATAGGGCTACTGACTAACACCGCCGCCTCTGCTGCTTCTTGCTGTCGCCTTCACCACCACTATGTAAGGCTTATCTTTCAGTGGCTCTTATACATTCAACAACAAACACACCACCACTCGTGGCATTCTTAATGCCATATTTTATTTATTCTAGAGTATATATCATGTTTCTACGTTATTAATATTGTTTATTATGTCATATTAGATGAACTTTGCTAGGTAAATAAGCCATAGAGCTGATATTAGTGTCATATTGAAAAACTATCTTGTTCTGTCTCCCAACACATTTCCTAACATACGCCAGAAATAGACCTCTCTGGAACACTTTTTGAGCGACAGGGGCCCAGTGACTCTCAAGCTGGTCCTAGTGGCATTAGAAAACAAAGAAGGGAAGTAACCCAGGATAAGGACTTGGTACCTGAAGTCTTCATGGAAAGAGATTCCCCTTCCAAATATGTAATTGTAAATTCCTCCATCCTCTCCTCTCCTCCCATCTTCTATCACCATGTCTTCAATAAAGGTAAGTGTGAGAGCATTGTTTTATCCTTCAAGTATCATTGTTTTCTGTGTAGGTAAATGTATATTTCATGTAGAAAACAATTTTTTAATACTGCTGGGTGTCTGAAACTGATTAACTGGATTTCCATTATTTCTTTTGGGGAAAATTAATTCGGAATTCGTCAGATTCGGGTTTAGTCAAACCAGTCACTCTCTCTCTGGAACGGATTAATTACAAAAACAGGGGGTCCACTGTACATTGGTTAAGGAGTACATCACTACCTTCAAAAACAACAAAAAATGGCAGCGCTTATAGGCTGGAATTTTTTTTCATATGTACAATATGACTTGATATGCTGTGAGAGTGTAAGCAAAGTAACATCGATGAAGGGATTCAGGGAAACTGGTTAGCCAGACTTGAGTCATGCACTCTGAAGGAGGGGTGGAGATATGTTGCAGCTTATTAAGTGTAGTGTAGACACACCTCTGGCAAGACAGTAATGGAGTGAACAATGGAAGTGTTTTTTCTTTTTCGGGTCACATTGCCTCGGTGGGATACGGCCGATGTGTAAATAAAAAAATAAAGTGTGAAATAGGTATAAATCAGTGAAGCTCAATTTGGTTTACAGTTAACTGACAAAAATAACACTTACTGTCTCTGAGCTTCTTTTCACACTCTGAGAGGAAAGTGTTGAGAAGACGAGCTAGAACATCCTCCTCTGAGACTAACATGTGAGCAATTGTAGGCATCGTGAACAACTGGACACCCAGTGAGGCAACAGACACCGCATGGTCATGGTCATCCAAAATGAAATCTTTCATCATTTTGCTGTAGTGCTTTGTGAAAGTCTGTAGAGAGAAGCAAAATAACTTATAGCTTTACACACGAGAAGAGCATTTTGTGATTATCCTTACTTCCAAAAAAATTTCTATATTTTTAATGTTTAATTTCTGAGAACAGTGCTTAGATCATTTTTTTCATAATAAATGAGAATGGTCATTTCATGGTATCTTATTTAGCAAGAGAGAGACCCGTTTGTATAACACTGCCTGACATTTGTATACAATTTTTTTTTTTTCAACAAGTCGGCCGTCTCCCACCAAGGCAGGGTGACCCGAAAAGAAAGAAAATCCCCAAAAAGAAAATACTTTCATCATCATTCAACACTTTCACCTCACTCGCACATAATCACTGTCTTTGTAAAGGTGCCCAAATACAACAGTTTAGAAGCATATATAACATGCCCCTCCAAACTGTCAATATCACAACAATACAAAATATTGATTATAATTTTCAGGCTAATTTAATCAACATGAAAAATATAAAAATGCAAGAAAATTAAAAGAAAGATCAAATACTTTAAGAAGCTACAAAATGGATTGATGTTCACTATTGTACCAATAAAAGTTCAAGACTGAAGCAATTACAATTTATTTTCTTTTTCTTATGTAATAAAAGCTACATTAATATCCAAGTGCCAAATAAATTAAGAGTAGAACAATAATAAAATATTTCACATTTATAACTTACCCTAGCAAACATTTTCTTGCTTTCCTGGTCCATAAGCATTCCAGAGATAAATAATCTGTGCCATTGTACTCTAGCTGTTTTCCACATCTTGGTATCTGTCCAGATGATGTTCTCCACTATGCTACCACCATCCTGTATCAAATCAAAATAATTTCATGTTATCCAATTACATATTTTACTTTTTCACATATTATTCAAGTTCATTCTCTATAATGGTTACAATGTGGGGTTTACAGGTTTTGGGTATTTTGTGGTTTACATGTTATAAAATACTAATTACAGAGGGGGCCACTAGGACACCTAGCATGGCTAGGCATTTCCAGCAGACTTAGATTAATTCTTAACATTAAATCCTTACAGATTATGGTATTAAGGCTAAGTGACTACATCATAATTTGTGAGTTTAGCAATGTGAATGCTTTTGTTTTGGCACAATACAAGGTGTCTATATTTGAGTATCATAGGCAATTTTATGCAATTTTATCAAGTGTACTGAATTTATATTTTGTAAAAACATTAATTTTATTTAACATTACCAGTTATGTGCTCATGAACTTAATAGGAGTTATGTGCCAGGTATTGTACTTTATTCTCAAGTGTTTTAATTTTAGCATTCTTTGCCATTGATTCTGTCACTTATTAGATAGCCTTCCATCCTGCAAGGCTTGAATGTGGTAGGATTTTTTTTCTACTGCAATTAAGAGGAAATCATGGAATGGGAGGGGTTTGAACCCAGGGTAGTCGAGTCTTAAAACTCGCAGGCCAGTGTGCTAATCACTAGGCCAGCAGACTCAAAAACGATTTAGTATCCAATTAGGTATATTTCTATACACCATACAGAGGTTAGCATGGCCACCACTGTGGCCACAAATGGAAGTTTTTACAGATTAATCCCACACAAGTCGCTGTGATTTGCTCGAATTCAAGTTCCTTCAAAGTTGTCATCACAAGTCACTTAGGAAGAGGAAATAGCAGGTATAACAGGTTTCATCTTTACTGCTTATACTTTCTTTAATGCTCTGGTGCCAGAAGACAGATCTACTCTTTAATATAAATTGTTGTAACTACTGTTATTTTAGAAATATTGTAAAAATAAAATGGATAACTAATTTTAAGGATGCAATTAATGTCCCTTTAAATTTTCCTAAATTAAACTCTCACAGCCTGCAAGCAGAAGGGACAAATTGGCACCACATTATTTAAAATCCAGAAGCAGAGAAAATTCTGAGTATAGAATCAACTTCAAGACAAGAATAAAGTGAGGTAATGTTATGTCCAGTATTGTACATCGTAATTCTCTCTAGGTAGGTAAAATGTGCAAGGTTAGTTAGGGTTATATTTCATTGAGTAAGAACCCAAGACAGAAGAGCACTGATGAGGGCCTACTTGCCCATGCTAGACAGGTCCTACTCACATTCTACATTAATAAAATTGATAACAATATAACTGCTAACCCTAATATAGCCTAATCTGAATATTTGCTTTGCATCAGTTTATGTGCCAGTCCCCCTAAAACATCGTTTAATGTAACTGCATGTTGGTCTGTATCAGTGTTGTGATGCCAGAGGGAGGGTTTTCTATCATACTGAAGCAGCCATATGCACTGATAGCACAAATAGGCATGGTGTGGAGATACTGAGAGTACTTCAGCCTCTATGCTAGTAGAAAATTAATAAGCAGCAGAAGTAAACCAAGTTTGAGAAAATGAAGATTACCAAGAAGTTGCATCAAGTAAACCCAAAGACAATACAAGATCCTAAAATAATCACACAATTAAAAATAATTCAAACCTAAGCTAATACCAGGGAATTAGTTTCTTCAAAATAAACTCTCCAAATTATATCTCTGCATTACCTTGTTCACAATATCACTGAAAATTAGTCTGAATGCTTGAGCAGACTCCAAGATGTTATGAAGCCAGGTTAACAACCTTGATGCAAACATCTGATGTGCAATGATGTATGTCTGCATCACCTGAAATACATTATAATAAGGTTCAGTACATAAAAAAATCACATCTCACTAAAGTAAATTAAGATATTTATGGATTGAGAAAAGACATATGATAAGTTGGATAGGGAAGCAATGTGGCAGATGTTGCCAGTGTATGGGTTAGATGACAGTAAAATATAGTGAAAGTGTTCCTTTTTGGGTCACTATCTCAATGGGAAATGACCTGCGTGTTATATTTACAGATCAACATTTAGTTAAAGTTAGCTACAAGTTAAATTTCATGAGTGTTATTGTACACATGAAAATATTCTGAAAAAACTGCTCCCCTCCCAATTAAAAGAAAGGAAATTTGTGAGGAATCATCTACAACTAGATGAGAATTATTTTACTTCATTTACATATAAATACCAACAATACAAAATTATTACTAACCTGAACTTTAAGTGGTCGTCCACCACCACGAGAAGTTTGCTTTTCCATAAGGTTCTTAGTCTGGGAACACTGCTGGAAAGAAGAGCACCTCACAATACAACGACCTTCTCTATCTATACTAGTTGCAAATGCCACTGCATCCTTTTGTGAACACTCAATAGCTCGTTCCAGTGTATTAATTACCTGAAAATTAAGAAGAGAGGGTAAACAATATAATTTATTTTACCTATTTCCAACCCAGCCTTTAATATGATCACAATTACAAAAATAAAAATTAAATTAATATAAAGCTTGGGCTAAAATTATACAGTATTTTACTAACCTGGTCATAAGTATGTGTCTCATCATTGTATAGCATAGTGACATATGTATCTTTAATGTCATAAAGACTGGATAAATTTGTAGGTTCACGGTCTGATTCACGAATTTCCAAATCCTTAGGGATGGAAAATCCTTCTTCGTATGTAAGCAGCTCCTTGGCATAGGGCAGGATACAATCAAATATTAAATGAATCCTTTCAGTCTGGAATGGAAAGAAAATTATGAGCAAAATATTTCTTACCTGTAATTAAACCAAATCTGACTGGAAGGCATATTTTACAAAAGCTATAATTGTTTACTAGTAAATTTAAAGTACAGTCATACCTCACCCGACATCATTAATTGGTTCCAAGAGCCGTGATGCAAGTCGTTTTTTTACATAAACCAGACATAATGCCTTAAAATGATGACAAAAACCATAAAACTAACATAAATAACTTGTGAAAGAATATAACTATTGCTAAACCTTAAACAACACTAAAAACACAGTTTAGGCATATTTTTTAAAGAATAATGAAAACATTTAAAAAAATTATGACATAGGTGACGTTACCGAGTGACAAAGTCAGACGAATGACGTTCGCTGAACTGAAATTTACTCTACAAAAATGGCGTAAAGGTGAATTTGACGTAGGCTGAAATGATGTAAAGCGGTGTATGATTGTATTGTGTTGCCTATTCTACTTAAAAATCTAGGAAAAAAAGTAAACCCTTATGGGTCAAATATCACGCCAAGGAACTGAGAAGTATTCAGTTCAATCCAAGGAAGGGCAAGATAAATATAGCCCCTTGGATAAGAGCCCCCTTCCTGACATCAAGGCACACCTCCCTTGAGGGGAATTTATTCTTCATGTCCTTTACCTTCTAATATTTACATAGTGTACTCTTAAATAATTCAATGGATTAAAAAGCAGAGACAAAAATTAGAGAATACACAGTTCTGTAATACCCATGTAAATCCTTTGATATTATACTACTACCAGATTTTCACATTTTATTAGTTTTCTTCATGTAAAATTTAAAACTAGAACATTTACTGTATTGTATAAAAACAATAAGAGCAAAAAATGATAATTAATGCAGGTAAAAAGTACAGTGGACCCCCGCATAACGATCACCTCCGAATGCGACCAATTATGTAAGTGTATTTATGTAAGTGCGTTTGTACGTGTATGTTTGGGGGTCTGAAATGGACTAATCTACTTCACAATATTCCTTGTGGGAACAAATTCGGTCAGTACTGGCACCTGAACATACTTCTGGAGTGAAAAAATATCGTTAACCGGGGGTCCACTGTATATCTCTCCATGGGGAAGTGGAACAGAATTCTTCCTCCGTAAGCCATGCGTGTTGTAAGAGGCAATTAAAATGCCGGGGGCAAGGGGCTAGTAACCCCTTCTCCTGTATATATTATTAACGTATAAGGAGAAATTTTCGTTTTTCCTTTTGGGCCACCCTGCCTCGGTGGGATACGGCCAGTGTGTTGAAAGAAAGAAAGAAAAAAGTACAGTGGACCCCCGCATAGCGATTTTAATCCGTGCAAGAGGGCTCATTGTTATGCGAAATGATCGGTATGCGAATGAATTTTCCCCACAAGAAATAATGGAAATCAAATTAATCCGTGCAAGACACCCAAAAGTATGAAAAAAAAAAATTTTTACCACATGAAATGTTAATTTTAATACACACAAACTGAAAAAGGCATGCACAATTACATGACACTTACTTTTATTGAAGATCTGGTGATGATTGATGGGATGGGAGGAGGAGAGAGATAGTGTTAGTGTTTAGAAGGGGAATCCCCTTCCATTAAGACTTGAGGTGTCAAGTCCTTTTCTGGGGTTACTTCCCTTCTTCTTTTAATGCCACTAGGACCAGCTTCAGAGTCACTGGACTTCTTTCGCACAACATATCTGTCCATAGTGGCCTGTACCTCTCGTTCCTTTATGACTTCCCTAAAGTGTTTCACAACATTGTCAGTGTAATAATCACCAGCACGGCTTGCAATAGCTGTGCGAGGGCGATTCTCATCCATAAAGGTTTGCACTTTCAGCCACATTGCACAGATTTCCTTAATCTTTGTAGTAGGCAACTTCTTCAATTTCTCTCTCCCCTCCTCTGAACCAGTTTCCTCAGGTATGGCCTCTTGCTGTTGAAGTTGATCTATCAGCTCATCAGTGGTTAGTTTTTCATTGTCCTCCTCCACCAACTCTTCCACATCCTCCCCACTAACCTCCAACCCCAAGGACTTTCCCAATGCCACAATGGATTCCTCAACTGGCATAATCCTCTCAGGGTTAGCCTCAAACCCTTCAAAATCCCTTTTGTCTACACATTCTGGCCACAGTTTCTTCCAAGCAGAGTTCAAGGTCTTCTTAGTCACTCCCTCCCAAGCCTTACCTATAAGGTTTACACAATTGAGGATATTAAAGTGCTCTCTCCAAAACTCTCTTAGAGTCAGTTGAGTTTCTGAGGTCACTACAAAGCACCTTTCAAACAGAGCTTTTGTGTACAGTTTTTTGAAGTTTGCAATAACCTGCTTGTCCATGGGCTGCAGGAGAGGAGTGGTATTAGGAGGCAAAAACTTCACCTTAATGAATTTCATGTCCCCATAAAGTCGCTCTGCCACGTCTGTAGGATGACCAGGGGCATTGTCTAACACCAGGAGGCACTTAAGTTCTAATTTCTTTTCAGTTAGGTAATCTTTCACATTGGGGGCAAATGCATGGTGTAACCAGTCATAGAAAAAGTCCCTAGTGACCCATGCCTTACTGTTTGCCCTCCACAGCACACACAAATTCTCCTTGAGGACATTCTTTTGCCTGAACGGTCTGGGAGTTTCAGAGTGATACACTAATAAAGGCTTAACTTTGCAATCACCACTAGCATTGGAACACATCAACAAAGTAAGCCTGTCTTTCATAGGCTTATGTCCTGGGAGTGCCTTTTCCTCCTCAGTAATGTAGGTCCTGCTTGGCATTTTCTTCCAAAACAGGCCTGTTTCATCACAATTAAACACTTGTTCAGGTTTCAGTCCTTCACTGTTTATGTACTCCTTGAATTCCTGCACATATTTTTCAGCTGCTTTGTGGTCCGAACTGGCAGCCTCACCATGCCTTATCACACTATGTATGCCACTATGTTTCTTAAATCTCTCAAACCAACCTTTGCTGGCCTTAAATTCACTCACATCATCACTAGTTGCAGGCATTTTTTTAATTAAATCCTCATGCAACTTCCTAGCCTTTTCGCTTATGATCGCTTGAGAGACACTATCTCCTGCTAGCTGTTTTTCATTTATCCACACCAATAAGAGTCTCTCAACATCTTCCATCACTTGCGATCTCTGTTTCGAAAACAGAGTTAAACCTTTGGCAAGAACAGCTTCCTTGATTGCCTTTCTGTTGCCCACAATAGTAGCGATGGTTGATTGGGGTTTCTTGTACAACCTGGCCAGCTCGGCGACACGCACTCCACTTTCATACTTATCAATGATCTCTCTCTTCATCTCTATAGTAATTCTCACCCTTATTGCTGTAGGGTTGGCACTAGAAGCTTTCTTGGGGCCCATGGTCACTTATTTTGCAGATAAAATCACCAAAAACACTGTAATAATACGAAATGTTCCGATTGTATGCTTGGATGTTACCGCGGAGGCTGGCTGGTAAACAATGCCACCGGCGGCACATGTGAGGCTGGCTAAGGGCGCACATTGGACGCGTCTCGGACGAACAGCGGTGAGCGGGTTTTTGAGCGGTATGTGAGGCAAAATTTTTGCGATAAAAGCGAGCGGTATGCAGATTAAACGTTATGTGATGCCAACGGTATGCGGGGGTCCACTGTATATCTGTAAGTTACTGAACTATCTTTAACAATTTATTACTAACCCTTTAAATAGAGAAAACTAGAGAATTTTCGTCAATCCAGAACCATTATCAAGACAAGTTGATAATGGTCCAAGAAGAACAAAAATATTTAATTTTATCCCCAATTTGTGGGCTTGTGAATTGTTCCAGTTGTAGTATAAGGACTGATGTTCTTCTATACCTTTAACAGTATTCACAACCATATCAGTCTGTGGAATTCAACAAATGTTTTGTAACACTTGATAGTGACAAAATACTCAGGAAAGATTATACTTAAGGCACAATCATATCAAGAAAGAGGAAGTCTCCAACTGGAACAATACTGTACATTTATAAAGGTAAACAGACAAATTTACTAACCAAATCTGTAGGTATTTTTTCTAATGGGTTTTGAGAGTGTTGTACCATTTGCCCCTTAACATGAATATCACAGAATACATCAGTTTTCCAAGCTTCCCTGTCACCACAGTCACAATAGCCGCCTCCAGATGATGTGCTGATTTTGTACCTGAATGTAAATAATACATGGCTGAGAATAAGAAAAGAATGGCCAAGGTCTATGCAAAAATACTTGGTAAACAAAAAGGAGGCTAGTCACAGGGATGGAAAAGTGTTTAGAGAAGCAAATTAATTCACTTTAAAATTTTTTTTTTTTTAACAAGTCAGTCGTCTCCCACCGAGGCAGGGTGACCCAAAAAGAAAGAAAATCGCCAAAAAGAAAATACTTTCATCATTCAACACTTTCACCTCACTCACACATAATCACTGTTTTTGCCGAGGTGCTCAGAACACAACAGTTTAGAAGCATATACGTATAAAGATACACAGCATATCCCTCCAAACTGCTAATATCCTGAACCCCTCCTTTAGAGTGTAGGCATTGTACTTCCCAATTCCAGGACTCAAGTCCGGCTATATAAAAATAAATTATATTTGGAATATACATACATCAACAGCCAGAATGTTGAAAAAAAAAATTAAAATGTTAGCATGGCTAGGTTCTAAAGTAATGGGGAAGTGAGCCCTTGCCCCTTTCCCCAGTTGAAAAAGGCAAGAGCAAAACCCAGCGCTGAATGTGCTCAGGGAAAGCGAACAATTCCACTGTTTCAACACTCTCCTTCCCACTAAGCCACTCTTTCCCAATATTCTAGTTTATAAAAAAAATTCTAAAAGTTAAAAACCAAAGATAATTCTTCAGCATCACTACTCTCTGAAGTTTTTGAGGTTGGGAAGCACCCATACAAGAAATGATAAAAAAAAAAAAAAAAAAAAATACATTGAAGGATACAGATACACTGTTGTACTTTTCATACTACTGAACAATATTTCCAAGAGATCCAATTTTTTTTTTACATCCCCATTTCAGTCCTACTAAGCACTTACCATTTTTTTAATAAGATTGTGTAGCACCACACATCTTCAAGTTCACTACTGTACCTACTTGCCTCCTATGATCACTTGCAAACATGCTTTATGAGACACCATCATCCACATTTCAACCAATCGCAGTTACACAATTATGACGTATCATTTACATTTACAGAATTTTATGCACAATTATCCTCTCAATGTTAAAAAAAATCCACATTTTACATGCCTAAATTATTAATTTCAGATTAAAAAATTTCCTTTCTGGGTCATCCTTTGAAGGAGATAGCTGTCAAAAAAAAAACTTGACAACATAACATTACAAGTAAATTAGAATAACTGGAAGTACTTCATATTCACCTATGTTTACTATGTGCAGAATTTTTAAAGCAGTCAGCACACAGAACACACGTGGGATCCATGCCACAGTCCCGGCAACCATAAGTTGGGTCTCCATTTTTAAAAACTCTACCACATAGTGATGGTGGATTATCTAATTGCTTGACCATCTGTTGAGAAATGAAATTTACAATTACTGAAACGTGTAAACAAATAATATATGTACTTACATAAATAAAAGCTAAACATACTTGAAAGCTACTCATTATGCCTAGAGAACACTGTACCTAATGTAGTTATTGTAAAAGATCAAAGTAAAGATTTAAATGACAAATCAAATATTTAATATTTGAATAATTAAAAGCAATACAGGATATATGGTACAGTGGACCCCAGAGTTTCGTGATTAATCTGTTCCTGAGAGTCTGCCGAATGACGAAATTGCCGAATGGCGAAACCACTTTCCCCATAAGAAATAATGGAAATAAAATTAATCCGTTCCAGACACCCAAAAATATTAAAATAATTTTTTTTTTTCAAATTAAATAAAGATTTACATACTGAAAACAATGAGAAATCAAGTACAGTGGTCCCTCAATAATCGTCCGGCCTGAAAGCCGTCCATTTCGGAAATAGTCCTATTAATTCGTCTAAACACTGGCTCGCAAATGGTCCGTTAACTCGCTAATAGTCCTTCATCCGGGACGCGTACTCATGCTCTGAGCCGCCTGGGTCTTCCCTTCCGAGCCAGTGTGCCATTGTTTACCAGTGAGCGACGGTCCCCTCACTTGCTCCTACAAAATATTTCATAATATTCCATTCATTTTAGTGCTTGCAAGTGCTAAATAGGCTACCATGGCTCCAAAGAAAGCTCCTAGTGCCAAGCCTTTGGTAAAGAAGGTGAGAAATATGACTGAATTTAAGAAAAACATCATTGAACAATATGAAAGTGGCGTACATGTGGGCGAACTGGCCAGGATGTATAACAAATCCCGTACAACCATATCTTCCATCATAGCCAAGAAAAAGAAAAGCAACGAAGCTGTTGTTGCAAAGGGGGTAAATGTGCTGACAAAAATGAGATCACCAGTATTCAAAGATGTTGAGAAGTTATTATTGGTGTGGATAAACGAGAAACAAGTAGCAGGAGATAGTCTTATGACGTCGTTTATTTGTGAAAAGGCTAGGCAGTTGCATGACGATTTGGTAAAGAAACTGCCTGCAAATAGTGGTGATGCGAGTGAATTTAAGGCCACCAAAGGCTGGTTTGAGAGATTTAAGAAGCGTACTGGCATACACAGTGTGATAAGGCATGGTGAGGCTGCCAGTTCTGACAACAAAGCAGCTGAAAAATATGTGCAGGAATTCAAGGAGTACATAAACAGTGAAGGACTGAAACCTGACCAAGTGTTCAATTGTGATGAAACAGGCCTCTTTTGGAAGAAAATGCCAAAGAGGACCTACATTACTTAGGAAGAAAAGGCACTGCCAGGACACAAGCCTATGAAAGACAGGCTGATGCTCATGTTCTGTGCTAATGCTAGAGGGGATTTCGAAGTGAAGCCGTTACTAGTGTACCATTCTGAAAATCCCAGAGTGTTCAAGAAAAACAATGTTATGAAGAGAAAATTGTGTGTGTTTTGGAGATCTAATAATAAGGCATGGGTCACAAGGGACATTTTCGTCGAGTGGTTCAATGAAGTGTTTGGCCCTAGTGTGAAGAATTACCTCCTGGAAAAGAAATTGGATCTCAAGTGCCTCCTAGTAATGGACAATGCACCTGCTCATCCTCCAAACTTGGATGACCTAATTCTGAAGAAGTTTGGGTTCATCTCAGTAAAGTTCTTGCCCCCAAATACCACTCCTCTCCTCCAGCCCATGGACCAGCAAGTCATTTCAAACTTTGAAAACTCTACACCAAAGCAATGTTTCAAAGGTGCTTTAGTGTGACCTCAGACACTTGACCCTAAGAGATTTTTGGAAAGAACACTTCAGTATTCTCCATTGCATAAGCCTTATAGGTAAGGCTTGGGAGGGAGTGACTACCAGGACTTTGAACTCTGCTTGGAGAAAATTGTGGCCAGATTGTGTCCACAAGAGGGATTTTGAAGGGTTTGAGGCAGCCCCTGATGAGCCTATGTTAGTTGTGAACTCTATTGTCACACTGGGGAGTTCCATGGGGTTGGATGTGAGTTTGGAGGATGTGGAAGGGTTGGTGGAGGACCACAGTGAAGAGCTAACCACTGAGGAGCTGCAAGAGCTTCAGCAGAAAGAGCAACAGACCGCAGCTCAGAATCTTGCTGCAGAGGAGGAGGAAGAGAGATGGAAAAAGGTGCCTTCTTCAGAAATTAAGGTGATTTTTGAAATGTGGGGCAGGATGGAAAGATTTATGGAGAAACATCACCCTGAGAAGGATGTTGCAAGCCATATCGGCAACTTGTACAGTGACAGAGTCTTTGCCCATTTTAGGGAAGTTTTAAAGAGATGCCAGAAACAGAGCTCTCTGGACAGTTTTTTTTGCGAGACAGGACTCCAGTGACTCTCAAGCTGGTCCTAGTGGAATTAAGAAACAGAGAAGAGAAGTAACCCCAGAAAAGCAATTGGTACCTGAGGTGTTGATGGAAGGGAATTCCCCTTCCAAACAGTAAATAATCCAATCTGTCTCCTTCTCCAATCTTCCATACACTAAGAAGAATCACCAATAAAGGTAAGTGTTATTCTGTTAATGTTTCATTCATCAAGTGCCATTGTATTGTTTATGTACTACATTGTTTTAATACTTCTGGTTGTCAGGAACGGATTAGTTGCATTTACATTATTTCTTATGGGGAAAATTGATTCGAAAATCGTCTATTTCGATAATAGTCCCACTTCCAGGAACGGATTATGGACAATTATTGAGGGACCACTGTACATACATATATAAAATAATAACATTACACTTACCTTTACTGAAGACTTCCAGGTAGATGGAAGACGGGAGGAGGGGATAGGAGGAAGGTGTACACTATTGTTTGGAAGGAGAATCTCCTTCCATTAGGACTTCAGGTACCAAGTCCTTATCTGGGGTTACTTCTCTTCTTTGTTTTTTAAAGACACTGGGAACAACTTGAGACACTGGACCCCTCTTGCACAAAATATCTGTCCAGAGAGCTCTATTTCTGGCGTTTCTTTAAGATTTGTCTGAAGTGGGACACAACATTGTCATTGTACATGTTGCCAATACGGCCTGCAACAGCTTTGTCAGGGTGAAGTTCATCCATAAATGTTTGCACTTCAGTCCACTTTGCACAAATGTCCTTAATCTTTGAAGAAGGCACCTTCCTCCATCTCTCTTCCTCCTCCTCTGCAGCAATTTCCTGAGCTGTGATCTCTTGCTGTTGCAGCTCTTCAGTGGTTAGCTCTTCCCTGTGGTCCTCCACCAACTCTTCCATATCTCACCACTCACCTCCAACCCCAGGGACTTCCCCAATGCCACAATAGATTCCACAACTGGCATAGGCTCCTTAGGGTTAGCCCCAAACCCTTCAAAATCCCTCTCTTGTACACATACTGGCCACAATTTTCTCCAAGCAGAATTCAAAGGTCTGCAAGTCACTCCTTCCCAAGCCTTACCTATAAGATTTATGCAAGTCAGGATACTGAAGTGATCTTTCCAGAGCAATCTCAGGGTCAATTCAGTGTCTGAATTCCCCTTGTGACCCATGCCTTATTGTTAGCCTTCCACATCACACACAAATTACTCTTGGCGACACTTTTCTTGAACACTCTGGGATTTTCAGAGTGATACACCAGTAAAGGCTTCACTTTGCAATCCCCACTAGTGTTACTACAAAACACGAGAGTAAGTCTATCCTTCATAGGCTTGTGTCCTGGGAGTGCCGTTTCCTCCTGCGCGATGTAGGTCCTCTTTGGCATTTTCTTCCAAAAGAGGCCTGTTTCGTCACAATTAAACACTTGTTGGGGTTTGAATTCTCCAGTGTCTATGCATTCCTTAAACTCCTGTACAAACTTCTCGGCTGCTTTTTTTTCAGAACTGGCAGTCTCACCATGCCTTATCACACTGTGAATGCCACTACGCTTCTTAAATCTCTCAAACCAACCTTTGCTGGCCTTAAAATCACAAGCATCACCACTCGTTGCAGGCATTTTCTTTACGAGATCATCATGCAACTGCCTTGCCTTTTCACATATTATCAACTGCATAATACTATCTCCTAACTGTTTTTGGGTAATCCACACCAACAATAACCTTTCCACTTCTTCGAGGATTTGTGATCTCTTTTTTGTCAGCATATCTACCCCTTTTGCAACAACAGCACACTTTATTTCCTTTCCCTTTGCCACGATCGAAGTGATGGTTGAATGGGGTTTGCCATACATCCTGGCAAGTTCTGTAACACGCACTCCACTCTCATATTTTTCAATGATTTCCTTCTTGAATTCAATCGTGTTCCTCGCTTTCTTTACCAAAGGGCTTGCACTAGCTTTCCTTGGGCCCATGGTGACTTATTTAGCAGTTGCAAGCACAAAAAACAATGGATTATTATGCAATGTATTGTATGAACCTGTGGGGTGATGGTCACATGCTGGTAAACAATGGCACATTGAGTGTGAATGGTGCGGGAAACTGGCTTTGTGTGCACCGTGATGGGCGGACATGTATCGGACAGTCGCCGAATCACGAGTCCAATCACGAACCGCGAAGCTTAACTTTGCCGAAAAAACTTGCCAAAAGTCGGATTTCACGAAAGTCGATGCTGACGAAACTCAGGGTCCACTGTATAATGTTTATTACAATACAGTGAACCCCCGCATACCGTACGCATCGCATAACGTTCAATCCGCATACCGCTCGCTTTTATCGCAAAAATTTTGCCTCACATACCGCTCAAAAACCCGCTCACCGCTCTTCGTCCAAGATGTGTCCAATGTGCGCCCTTAGCCAGCCTCACATGTGCCGCCGGTGGCATTGTTTACCAGCCAGCCTCCGCGGTAACATCCAAGCATACAATCAGAACATTTCGTATTATTACAGTGTTTTTGGTGATTTTATCTGCAAAATAAGTGACCATGGGCCCCAAGAAAGCTTCTAGTGCCAACCCTACAGCAATAAGGGTGAGAATTACTATAGAGATGAAGAAAAAGATCATTGATAAGTATGAAAGTGGAGTGCGTGTCTCCGAGCTGGCCAGGTTGTATAATAAACCCCAATCAACCATCGCTACTATTGGTGGTACAGCTGCTGCTGTACCACCGTCAGCTGCTACTGCTGCTGCACTGTCAGCTGCTGCTGCTGTAGCACCGTCAGCTGCTGCTGCTGCTGTACCACAGTCAGCTGCTGCTGCTGCTGTAGTACCGTCTGCTGCTGCTGTAGCATCGTCTGCTGCTGCTGTAGCATCGTCTGCTGCTGCTGTAGCATCGTCTGCTGCTGCTGCTGTTGTACCACCGTCAGCTGCTGCTGCTGTTGTACCACCATCAGCTGCTGCTGCTGTACCACCGTCAGCTGCTGCTGCTGCTGTAGTACCGTCTGCTGCTGCTGTAGCATCGTCTGCTGCTGCTGTAGCATCGTCTGCTGCTGCTGTAGCATCGTCTGCTGCTGCTGTAGCACTGTCAGCTGCTGCTGCTGCTGTACCACCGTCAGCTGCTGCTGCTGTAGCATCGTCTGCTGCTGCTGTAGCATCGTCTGCTGCTGCTGTAGCATCGTCTGCTGCTGCTGTAGCATCGTCTGCTGCTGCTGTAGCATCGTCTGCTGCTGCTGTAGCATCGTCTGCTGCTGCTGTAGCATCGTCTGCTGCTGCTGTAGCATCGTCTGCTGCTGCTGTAGCATCGTCTGCTGCTGCTGTAGCATCGTCTGCTGCTGCTGTAGCATCGTCTGCTGCTGCTGTAGCATCGTCTGCTGCTGCTGTAGCATCGTCTGCTGCTGCTGTAGCATCGTCTGCTGCTGCTGTAGCATCGTCTGCTGCTGCTGTAGCATCGTCTGCTGCTGCTGTAGCATCGTCTGCTGCTGCTGTAGCATCGTCTGCTGCTGCTGTAGCATCGTCTGCTGCTGCTGTAGCATCGTCTGCTGCTGCTGTAGCATCGTCTGCTGCTGCTGTAGCACTGTCAGCTGCTGCTGCTGCTGCTGTAGCACTGTTGTTGGTGTGGCTTATTGAGAATACCAAGAAACAATTAACCCCAGAGGATTTGCCACCCAGGATAACCCAAAAAAGTCAGTGACATTGAAGACTGTCTAACTTATTTCCATTGGGGTCCTTAATCTTGTCTCCCAGGATGCAACCCACACCAGTCGACTAACACCCAGGTGAACAGGAAAAATGCCTGGAACTAGTGCTCATATTGGTGAATTTAAAGCTAGCAAAGGTTGGTTTGAGAGATTTAAGAATCGTAGTGACATACACAGTGTGATAAGGCCTGTTCTGGAAGAAAATGCCAAACAGGACCTACAGTACTCAGGAGGAAAAGGCACTCCCAGGACACAGTGTCTCATCAGTCATTGCTGCATCTTCAATAAAGGTAAGTGTCATTTATTCTTCATTTAGTAGAGTAGTACATGCACAATATATATTGTGCATGTACTACTCTACTATTGTGCATGTATCCTTCTCTTTGTGTGTAGGAAAATGTATATTTCATGTGGTAAAATTTTTTTTTTTCATACTTTTGGGTGTCTTGCACGGATTAATTTGATTTCCATTATTTCTTATGGGGAAAATTCATTCGCATACCGATCATTTCGCATAACAATGAGCCCTCTTGCACGGATTAAAGTCGCTATGCGGGGGTCCACTGTATACAGAACTCGTCTTTTTTCTTGTATGTTACTATGCATTAATGTCCCTAGATTTAAGCATCAGATATTTAAAAATTCTTGTACTGTTAAAAAGAAAGGACAATATCACAATATTTGCTGCTAAAGCATGGATACAAAAATTTCCTCCAGTAACAATATACAGCCTCTCCTCACTTAGCAACATAATCGTTTACAGACACCTCGGACTTACAACAGGCTCTCTGACCAGCATTCATAACTAATGTATATCAGGGTTGATTTCCTCTATCCTGTTTATTTCAATATACATTTCATTACTGTATAAACATTTAAAAATATACCAGAAATGTTATAAATGGTGCAAAGGTGACATTAACCCCTTCAGGGTCCAAGGCTCAAATCTGAAGTGGTGCCCCAGTGTCCAAGAATTTTCAAAAAAAAATTTGTTATTTTTTCTTATTAAATGGTAGAGAATCTTTTTGTGAAGGTAATAAAACAAAAAGTACGAAATTTGATGGAAAATTGACGAAATTATGCACTTGCGAATTTTGATGTGTCAGCGATATTTACGAATCGGCGATTTTGCCGACTTTGACTCCCATTTTAGGCCAATTACATTATTCCAGTCAACCAAATTCTTAGCTATTTCACTAGTATTACTTCTATTCTATCGATTGAGCACAAGAAATCGCCAAGTCAACTGTTTAAACTACAAATTAAAGTGATCGGAAATTGTTAATTTGGCCAATTTAACACAAAGTTCAAAATATTCTAATTTCAAAATAGGGTCCAGAATAAACAATGTAGGTATTCCTGGAACTAAACTAACATTTCCTTTGTTCATTAGTTACGTTTTGAGGCTTTACAAATAAATTCCATTTTGATTTTTTATTCACATAATGAATTTTTATTCACACCAAAAAATAGAAGATTTTCTGTTATGCAATAGTGTAATAATTGTATAAATATCACCATATTTGTGAATGCATATTAGACCCACCAGCCGGCATGTATTAGACGTGTGAGGTCGTCTGTTTACTCTTGAATATTTGCAAAAATTTAACATTTCTGCTGCTTTGAGCTCAGTTTCAAGCCATTTCCAGTGCTAAAACCAATCAAAATCATCTCTATTTCTGTAATATGTCTTCCATTCTATCAAATGAGACCAAGAAATCGCAAATACAACTATAAAAAACATACGAAAAAACACTGCAAAGTCGCTGTTTTAATCGAAAAATCATGATTTCAGTTTTTTTTCTCTCATTATACACAGCGTGCTGCAGGATCTGTTTTATGTGGTGCACACATACCACATAGATATATTCTCTCATATCTAGGCCCAAATGTACCACTCACAGTTTATCAGAGTGAGCTGAGCTCATGACGTAGATCTACGGTTTGGACCCTGAACGTAAAGCCGTAGATCTACGGGACGGACCCTGAAAGGGTTAAAACAATATCAAAGATGGCTTACACAAACTCGCTACCATTATAGTATGCTCCTCACTTGGCGACGAATTTGTTTAATGGCATGGTCTCAGGAACAGAGCTCCATTGGTAAGCGAGGAGAGGCTGTACTGTACTATAAATGATCATATTCTTAATCTGTAAACTACTGAGCCATATTATAAATCTTCCCCACAAAACTCTATTTAGAGATTAATCTGCACCTGAATTCTGGCCACAATGAAACCCATATATGCTTCAAGTGACATTCTCTATATGAGCATGAGAACTCAGAATTAACCTGCCCTCCCCCAAAGGTTATACAAAATAAATTTTTCTCATCTATGCATTACAGAAGTCTCCAACCTGAACAAATATGAAACAATTTCCCTTCTCTGCATAAGAGCACATGCAAAATACAGTATTTATTTACTTTACCCGAGAAAATTACACTTTAATATTAAACTAAGATCCCAGAACTCACCTGGTAGATCTGTGCTGGGTCACCTCCACACATAAATCTCTCCAGAGGATCAAACAACATTTTTTGTGCTAATTCCTCATCAAAAATTATCCTTAGACAGTTACAGTTTGGCTGAAAAAGTATAATGGGCACTGGTTAAAACATGCTGGTGCATTTAATACTGTACTGTACCAATATATCATATACCCAAGTGCATTGTGCTCAATTACAAATACGTACATGTGCTTGCTACTGGTGTACCATATTTTCAAGTTTTTTTTTTTTTCAAGTTTCTTGCATGTCCAGTATATGTATGAATCTGCAAAGAGTCTGAATAAGAAAAAAATATGGTCTATAATTATTAAAAGAAAAAATTTACCTGTGGAGAATATATTTCTGGGACTTTTAGACGCCAGTATTCTCTGACATTGAGAGCTGAGAACCGGCCCTCCTTGTACAGTGTATCCCATCGCTCAACCAAATCAGCAACTGTAGGGTCCATCATGTCATGATCAACCTGCAAGCAAAAATAATATTAATTAATCAGCTGAACAATGGCACGAAAATTTTTTATGACACTTCCACTGTGATGCCCCATGTTCAATAAACTATAGTAATTGCTAAATCATTCACATTAAAACTCAAATACAGTACAGCAGTACACAAAACTGTGTACTGTACACTGATCTACACAATTCTTGTAAAGAGTATCTGCCCATAAATACTCTCCTAAAGAAATTAGAGTCAAGGTATTACCAGTGGATTACAGTATTCAAAGTTTATTACTTGGCAGTTATTTTTTTTTTTTAACACACCAGCCATCTCCCACCAAAGCAGGGCGATATGAAAAAGAAACAAAAATTTTCCTTCTTTTCACATTTAGTAATCTATACAGAAGAGGTTACTAGCCCCTTGCTCCCTGCACTTTAGTCACTGCTTACAACATGCATGACTTATGGAGGAAGGATTTTTCCTTACTTCCCCATTTAATATATGAAGATAAAGCTTTAGTAAAACTTCTGACCTATTTACCACAACAGTGTATCTATCTTTCCCAAAAATATTTTTAAGTTTTCTGATAAGTTTGCATTCTTCAAGAGCATAATACCCAGTAACATTAATACACATCAAAACTTCACTATCAGAACAGCTGACAGCCTGACTTTCCTGATGATCATCTGATAACTCAGGCTATTATTGCTTGCATCCTGTCACCCTACAAAGTCAGCACAACTCAACTGATCTAGCACTGAGAAATGGTATGGTGATACTGACAAGATGTGAAAAAGACACTTACACAATTGTCTTTTTTCTGATCTAGCACTGCCTGTAGAATTTTTTCCATTTTCTTCTTTAAGATTTTTCCCTATTTAAAGGTTTGGAAGCTTTACTACTGACCACAATTCTTTGTCTACACCCTGGAAGAATGACTTCCTGTTAGAGCTAGATTCTAAGTGAAAACTTTAAAGTAGGGTAAGTATGCTTTTTAACATTAATACAAACTCTTCTCCACTGTTACCTTGATTTCAGATTTCTGCTAACTTAAACTTTTATCTTTGGAGGGGTATGTTATATATCTTTATATCCTTCTAAACTGTTGTATCTGGGCACCTCTGCAAAGACAGTGATTATGTGTGAGTGAAGTCAAAGTGTTGAATGATGATGGAAGTATTTTCTTTTTGGGGATTCTTTCTTTTTGGGTCACCCTGCCTCAGTGGGAGATGGCCAACTTGTTGAAAAAAAAAATTCTTTAATTTATAATTTCAGTGGTTATTTTCTTTTTCCTAGTATTTGAATCTAATCTGTCCACACTGAACTACATCAGTCCATTCTGACAGCAATGCTAGTTTAGTATGGGGATGCAGGAGGGTCCAGTAGACTAACAGCTACTTCTGTCACCATTTAGTAAGCAAGTGTGCTTCAATTTTACCCTTCAGTGTAAAGGGAATTTCCTAAACTGCATGCAATGAAAGTTCCAAAACATTATCAAGTGACAAGGGTTGAAATACTGTACTGTAGTGTAAAGCTAAAGAGGAAAAAGCATTATATAAAATACCAGAGTAGTTTTTCTGTGGGAGAATGATGTTGGTAAGAAACCAAGTGCAACTGTTAAAGATTTCTGTCATCCTTTGCCAAGTCCCTGGTCATACCAATGATGTTCAGGGGAGTAATCTTACAGACTCAAGTGCATTCCACTTGATATTCAGAAAATGATAATAGCTGCAGAATACTTCTGCAGCTATTATCATTTTCTGAATATTTTCCAGTACTCTACTGCATACACTAACTTATCACTTAACATCACTGTCAAGTGGCAGCTGAGTTAAGTGACCAAAAAGCTATTTTTACTCAATCTGCAATGAGGTTCAAGCCAATCTCCCTTCCTTGCTGTCATTTGTGGATAAACTGAATTTGTCCCTGCATACAGATCAGGCAAGACTCTCATGGTTATCTTGTGAAGATGAAGGGGCACTCAGTGCCACTGAGAATTGTCAGGTCATGCTGATTGTTCAACATTTAATGACAGATCAGCTTCTTCATAAGATACAGTAGTAGGTGGCCTTAATTTTCCATCACTTCTTTAACACCTTAACATGCTTTTATTATTATTACATCCTGGGAGGAATGCTAAACCCATAGGGGTTATACATTGCCTGTGGATAAGGGAGGCAATCAGCTTCAATCCAAAGGAGGTGTGGTCAGATTCTTTCTCTAGTCAAAAATTCCCCCTCACCAGTGAGGGGACCAACATGCTTACACTGTCAGCCATCTTCTAGAGTCCCACCTTTAATGCAGAGCCACTCTGACTTCTTAAATGAAACCAATTTACTGCACAACTATTACTTCCTCCTTTCATCCTAGAACTCACCCTTCTTGCTATTTTTTCCTCTCACTTCAGCACCCATTTGACAAGCAGAATTGAACAACCCACTTATGTTTCATGCTTTAACATCAGTCTTATTGGTTTGGTTACTAGTGTATTATTATTATTACAGTAAACCTTCGATTTAACAGACTTCAGAAATATAAGACAAAATCTGCTGGGTCAACTGATTCAAAAACAAAACAGTTTGTTGGTTACAGAATTGACCCTTACTGTTATGATCACAGTAAAACAGTCACATCTCTATCCACTACAATCACAATTACTAGCATCATCTCTCCCCAATTAGTCCATTATATTAAGGGTTTACCGAGACTATTATTAATTACTATAATTATGAAAACTGTCTCAAACTACTGCTGTGCTGATCTTATATTCACGAGGAAACACTAAACCTACTGGGGGTTATGCAGTACCTAGGGAATGGAAGACAATCAAGTTTGATAAGGAAAAGGGCATAAGAAATGGTAGCTCCAATTCCTTGAGTTAAGAGCCCATCACCAGCATAAAGGTACCCCCTTTAAAGGGTGTTCTGGTGAGAGCCTCAAAATACAGTACTGTATATAGTGGTGCAAACATATGTTTCAAGACCATGCTCAGGTGTACAAGGTGTGCATTTACTATTCTCTACTTCTATTCCTTCTTCCTATAATTATCAATTTGTCACTCTCCATTATTTATTTTCTCTCCCCAGTTATTTTCTTAGTGGAATCTAAATACTTTGGAGGACTTGCACATCTTAAGATCATGTCTCAAAATAACACTTTTGTACAGCTATTTATAATGACTATATATAATTTAGGATGAAATACAAGTTTATGTGGGTCATTACTGACTTCAGGGAGTCGAGTTTTGTATGTAATTTCTCCAATATTATGTGGGTTATGCAATGCAGACAGTTATACTCTGGGCCTATGGCAAGTAAGATGACTCAACCTAGAACTTACTTTTAACTCTAAGTTAGGCTGAGTTTCTGTTTTCCTACCAATGAATGGGTCTTTCTCATATACACAATGCAGAACTGTCTCCAAGCATAATTCAATTGATATTTGAGAATTTACATAATTTATAAAAGCAGCCCCTTTAACTCGGTATTAACCCTTACATGAATTGTAAACATAACTAACTACTTCCCTAAATAGACAACTAATTATAAGAAGGTACTCTTAAGCAAATACAGAATAAATTTAACTCCAGCTACACTTTCTACTATTTGTTAGGCAGCACTCCAGGAAATGGTATACAATTGGGACAGCTGCCACTTGGATTGCATTGATCTATTACATATTACTATTACTTTTATCTTATTTACAAAGTGCTAAACCTGTGTGGGTTAAAGTTTATTCTATATAAATAAATATACACACCGTAAAAACAGTGAAGGTTAGCACCCAATAGTTCCCTTTGTGTCTTGCAGCTGGTCTAATGAAAATAGTCAACAACAGACTCCATTCTCAAAACAAAAGCATATTGTTTAAGTCTCGTCCTGGCCACTACCAAAGCCTTAACTAAACTCAGTTCATTTTTACTATGAATAAAATAATTATACAGAGTATATAATTTACATCTATTCTTAGAGAAACATCTTGGCCTGACAGCCATTTAATGTGGCACAAGGGCACTCAAGTACCTTGTCCCTTAACTTATTTTACAAGTTGCAAATTTCTAATCAACATGCATAAATGTGTTCTTTACCTAAAAATAATACACAGATGGAAAAATAATACAATACAAATGTTATTAGCCGAATAAATTCACATTACAGGAATATAAACATAATTCCTGAATAAATATGATTGTAATATATCTTCGTTGGTGAGTACTTGTGTATTTAAGGCAGCCTGAGCTGTAGGCCAGCTTATCTTACATAATATTTCAGGTGTGTTGGGTGTGAAAGTGAAACTGAGATGAGCTACCTGTGTGATTTAAGAGGTGAGGAAGTGACTGACGACGTCGACACCAACAACGTAACTCTCCTCCTCCTCCTCCTGGCTACTTACTACAGGTGATACACCTCTCTCCCACCACAAACCTTCCCGCTGCACAAACCCTGGATGTAAGTGGAGTGAGGTGTTTGGGTGGCACACACAGCTACACACTAGCTACACTACTGCGCAGTCAAACTTACACTTTCAGTCAAACAATCAGACAAGTCACTTTCTCTGGGAACAGATGATACACTACAACACACACGACATCCTCACATAAACCAACCATTCAAACAAAAAAATTTTCCCATAGAAGCGTCTTACTTCACTCCCAGCCTAGTGTATATATTCCCCTGAATCCCTTTATGAATTTCAGTCCCGTTGCGATAACTAAATCTAAGATACAGGTGAATATTTTTGCGGAAGGGAGAAATATTTTTGCGTTTTCTGTAGCATACTTGTTTTGTGAGCTAATAGGAAGACAGGGTTGTGAGACGCTGGGTTCTGATTGGCTACAGCTGATTACAACTATTGTTGACAATGTCTTTCAGAAAATTACAACCAGGTGTTCGTTCACAAAGGAGAATTTGATGTCCAGGTTGCAAATGTGCAGCAGAGCTTTGTTAGGGAGAACCTCTCTTGTTTCACGTTAATATTATCTAAATGTTTGTATCATTACAGCCAATATGTACATATAAGAACAGA